CTCCATAACTTCAAATTGATATAAAAACGTCAATGTATAGGGAGAGCTTATTCACAAAACCATCTCTCAAAACTGACGCAGTTTGTACACAGTGAGAGACTGTTGAAGTCACATTTTGTACAATGAAAAGTGTCTTGATTTCAAATAAGATATATTTTGCAATTAAATAAAAGGCCGTTAACTTGAATGCGGTGTCTATTTTACTGTATTATTTATAAACTGTCCGTATATTCTCTAGACAAGGGATACTGTCTGTATTTGTATGTAGATTCATTGAAAAGGTAATAGAAGGGCCCTAATAAATTGATTTATTGCAAGGGCATACCCTCAATTATCTTGCAAAGTTTTTACTCATAAACTCAAAAAGCATTAAGATACTTGAAAAGTTCTGCGAACCTCATGAAATCTTGCAAATAAATCAATTACTATTATGACTAAATTTAATGTAGTTGACCAGCAAAATATTCAACCTGCCGTCCAACAAGTTAAATTTTAGCAATTAAATAAGGGAATCTATATACGTTCGCAACACTTTTCACAAACTACATATAGTGTTGAAAAGGATTTTAAATTAAGGACAGATGATTCAAACAATTTTTAACTTTGGAAGAGACTTAATATCATGTCACAAGTTTAGAAAAGTGGATAATTCTTAGAATTTTTTCTCCTAAGAACTGGAAAATGAAATAGACTTGGAAAATATTAATAATATTTCAATATAATACCAAATATGGACAAAACACACTCAGTAAAGGTTTACAAATGAAAACAAAAAAATTCAGAATATGTTACCTTGGTGCTAAAAGTGTAATGTAAACTATAGTAAATTCACCCGGCTTGGTATATTTTTCTATAGGTTATATTATACTTTTAGCACCAAGGTAACATATTCTGAAATCTGTTTCCACCTGTAAACCTTTACTGAGTATGCTTTGTCTATATTTGTTTTATTTATTGAAATATTAGTAATATTTTCCGAGTCTTTTTCATTTTCCAGTTCTTAGGACAAAAAATGCTATGAATTATCCACTTTTCTAAACTTGTGACATGATATTAAATCTATTCCAAAGAAAACATTTGTTTGTATCATCTGTCCTTAAACTAAGAATTTTAACTTCGTTATGCCCTTGCAATATTGGAATTTATAGATGACCCCTATACTGCAAGTATAAATGCTAAACTTATGCGATTCCGACATCACATGACAAGTCTAAATAAAAAATCTAATTGTTCTCAACATGTAAATTTGAACCATATAACATTTTTAAATCAGTGAAATCCGCCCATCCTAATAAAGTAATGTATTTTTTATCTTATAAAATCGCCAATATTTCCATTTGTAACCTTAACTGTGCTGCGAGGTATAAATTTTATAAATCGTCAATTTCACATGTTTTAAGAGTTTCAATACATAAAACAATAAATACATTTTATTTCAACATTACTATAGCATACAGAATTGGACAACACAAAATTTTGCATAATGGAGAGGGTTTCAAACTTTATAGGACATTAAAGATATGATGTATGTACATTTTCAAAACATATAACTCTTTGACTCTTTTCATTTGACTCTTTAAAAAACATAACATGTTCCTCATTGTTTTTGGTTACTTATCTAAGAATTTGTTTTTACTTTTCAGATTATATAAAATATATACTAGTCAAAATTTCTAAGTCCCCAGACAAGTTTTCGCTTTACACCGCTCTTATATTGAATTATTTTAACAGTATAATTTAATAATTATACAGGATAATAAAGTAGCAAAACAATTTTTCTCACTTAATTTATTTTATTGAAGCGCTTTAACCAATATGCAGAAACGTTAAGGCATCCTAGAATTGAAAATTCACAACGTTTGATACTGCATTATTCTTCATTCAAACGAATTCAAAGCAAGACAACCGTTCCTCAAAGAATCCACACTATTTAAGAAAAATTCTTTTATTGAATGTTTTTCCATGTGGATACTAGGTCGTCCTCTAGTTTCGCTAGATTCTGCTGCTGAAAAAGCTGTCTCACACTCCGGTCTATCTGCTTCCATACATGCTAATAAGGTTTGAGATTAAGAAGACAAGGGGGCTTATTGAAATTGTCCGTGCCTTGTCAACAATAGTTACATAACGTCTTCTTACATGTATTCCCCACTCCTCCAGTTTGGGGAGGGCACTTCCGGTTCCGGTTCCATTGATTTTTCCGGATAAACTCTAGGACGATTTTGTGGTGTTTGTTGAAAATTTAGCTATTTCTAACGATTAAAAGGAATTTAGGTACGCTTAGTAGGTTTTTCGGGCGGTAATTATAAAGGTTTTAAGTAAAATAAAGTCATACAGTGAAGGAAAACAGAACTTTCGTTTATTACGACCAGCTTGGGCCATTTCAACTTCACTTGCAACTTGTTGTGTGGATATACACCCCTTTTTATTCAAGTTTTTTTCTGTTTTTCGTTATCAATTAAAGATGAAGAACACATGGAAGTAAAAAATATGAAGAATACACCCGCAAAACATATGGAACTCGAACTTCATGCTTTTTAACAAAAACGGTCACGGTCTAGTAATTACACATTCGATTACAATTTTTTTTGGCCTTGTCAGGTAAGTATCGCAAATTAAAGGCAAATTTATAAGCAGCTAGTAAATTGAAGTTAAGGTTTTTAACCTTTTGAAAAAATAAAAGTGGGGACTTAGAAATTTTGACAAGTATATTTTCTTGACAGTTCGTTTTACCAGCCTTATGTCATTAAATATAGCTGACCAAAGTTGATGATGTGGGGCTTTTATAACTAGAGTCTCTTCTACAACAAGAATTACATTTCCGTCTACCAATTACTGTTACCAAGTACAAAATAAAAATTATTAGAACTCCACAAAAAGCTAATACACCAATAAATATTTCTTTGTTGACTGTCCAAGTACATGTAGATGGAGCCGCGTTTACCTCTGTTGTAAGATTATATTTGCCTGAAAAGAAGAAAAAAATGAAAGACTAAGGTAGTTCTAAATTATGTGAGTGTGAGGTGTGAGTGATACATCCCGTACGTGCATTGTAAGCGGATTCATACATTATTCACTTAAGTCATATTCTAAATAAATGATCATAGATTCTATATTGTAACTTTATTTTTATATTCAATTAGAAAAAAAAAATAAATTCAAACAATACAATATTTTTCCTTTTTGTTATCAAAAATTGATAATTGCGTCACCGCAGAAATTCATGACGTGAGTAAAAGGGTTATTTTTATGCGTAGTATTCAGGTACGAATTCGTTTTTCATCTCCACATTAATGATCGCGAAGAAATACAACAGGTTAATGTCTTAATCTATAACATTATTAAATGTTTTCATTAGTTGGTAACGGTACTCAAAATATTGGTCAGTATACCATTACATTGATAGGATGTTCTACAATTATATATATATAAAACCAATAATTTGCTGTAAATGTCCGTTGTGTCTTTAATATTGTAAATGAACTGAAAATGATGGTGATGTTTTTTCATAAAAATTGAAGATGACAATTATTGGATGTGGATATATTATAACAGAGACCTGATATTGAGGTGTGAGTGATACATCCTGTACGTGCATTACATTCTTCTTCGTTACATTGACATTCCTTTTGACAGTCCGGGCCATAATTTGGATATCTGCAAGTTTCGGTGCAGTACCGACCAAAGAATCCAGATCTACACCCTTTAATGTTCAAAGTGATTTATTTTAAATTCTTTTTTGTGAGTACTAATTATCGAGAAATGTCCTCCTAGCACCAAACTGCAAGAACAAATATTCATGAGTGGACAAATATTCATGAGTGGACGGTTGATCAAGAGATTTAATATGGATTTCAGCACCATAGAAATAAAATAAATATTTCGAGAATGCTTCTTGCCAAATTAGGCAATCTCATTCAGATATCTACAATATATGATAATTTGAGATATAATAGAATATGCCATTTTTATTTACAACTTATAATGTTTCAATACAATTTCAACAAATAATTGATTAAACACATAAAATAAAACTCGTATGATAAAGAACTTAAAACTTGAATTTTATTTGAAACAAACACTTACTAATGCATGTGCATGCACTGTCATCCCAAATCGAATCAAAACACTCCTTCGGACTGCAATAAAACCAAAAGTTATTCTTCATGTATTGCATATTAGTTCTTGAAAGACTTTATTCACATAGCCTTCTGCAACACAGATATAGATAAACGTATTCCTTGGATAAGTATGTTTTATTCCAATAATATCATAAAAAGTAGACTTATAAGATGACTTATGTTTTGTTCTAAACTTATAAAGTACTTAATCCGAATAACAAATATAACACAATAATTTTGAAAATTTACTTTGATAGTTCTATGCTTTAGAGGTAGAAAGCAAGTTATAATGCGTCTATCGAAAACTTTGCACACTTACGTGCTGCATAAAATTGAAGATTGGTCAGCAAGGGAAAGAAAACCGTCCAGAATACAAAAAATGGATATTATGATAAATTTCATTTTACTTTGAAGAAAAATCTCAATTATTCATTGAAACAAACCAAAAAATAGTATATTTCCTAGAATTACGGAAACTGCCTTTAAACTAATTAATCTGGATTTAGTAATTTCCTTAATTGGTGACCAAATTTAGAACTTACTTTGCTATTTGGCGAAATCTCTTTCGTAAACTATTGTTGATTGATAAAATTTCTTCTATATTTTTTTTCGAAAAACATAGTGATAAAATCAACAATACATAAACCAATTAATGCAGAATACATTCATAAATCCGATAAATGATGTAGGTTTTATATGTTTGGATGAAACTATATGGAGATAACAAACAGTATTAAGGATCAAAAGTCTTCAAAATAGGAGCAGAGCAAACCTCCAAAACATCAGAGGTGGGATCAGGTGCCACGGAGGAGTGAGCATCCCCTGCCGACCGGTCACACCCATCGCGTGCTTTTTGTCTGATTTTGGAAGCGAAAGCTAAGGAGCAAAGAAAAAGTCTAAGATGAACGTTTACTGAAACCCGCTATGAATCCTTCGTTGTAAGATTTTCATGAAGCTTTGGATTACTGTGAAGGCAGGATTCAAATTTATTTTCATTTATCTGAAAACATGAAATCACAGTTTATACATGAGAAAGAAAAGTAAATGGCTAAAACTATTTGGATCACTAAAAGAAATTAAAAGAATTTTGTTTTATTTTAATTTTTTTCAAAGCTAAATATGGCATATTTTCAATCACGGAATGGATATTACGTGATTCGTAGAATTGTGTGTAACTTTCGGTGGAAAGGTTCAAACCTCATAGGTTGGCGATGTTTGTATTTTATCGCTCCATACGAAATCATAATCTTCAATTTCCTGCTAACAGTATGTATAGTATGAATATGAAGTAGTGATTATCGATGCCATTTTGTGAAGACGGCGGGTCTCTCAAGGAAATAATTTTTGCATCCCTTTTTGATATTTAGTGAATTTACTTCCCTGAGTTCCCTCTCATTGGGTTTGTCTCGCATTCTCTCTCTCTCTCTCTCTCTCTTAATGGTTGTTTGACAGATTTTACAATGGAACATTTCTGTTTATATTTCTTTCGTGTTTTTAATTAATAGAGACTCCAGTTCGGTTTTCTGTCCGTGTGCAGATATATTTTTTATTTAAAAAGAAATAAAAATGCATTCAACAATATCAGGAATATGTTTATTAAACTAAAATATATACACCTTTTTCTTTGTTTTTCGCTTAACAAAAAGGAATCGTTCTAAAGTCCGACAAACAATACAAATCCGTGAAATTTTACAAAACAAGATCCATGAAATCTCTGTATTTAAGGTTTATTAACATATTTACAACGTAAGAATTATTGTCATGCAAAATGTAATAGGCAATGTTCGTCATGTTCATCAAAAACTTCGTAAATCTCAAATTTATCCACTTGCAAATTATTTGCTCACTTTCTTTCTCGCTAAGGAACTAAATTGATATCCCTTGGAAACAGTGCTCCTACGCCTGCATTCAGATATACCAACGGACCTAATTAAACCACCCATACCTCATTTATTTACATAAATTAAGTTAGGACATTTACGATCTGTTTCAAATTTTCCGTTTCCTTCGATATCTGGTGTTGCTTTTTTAAAACAAAGAATTCATTTTTCAGGTTCTGCTGTTTGCATAATGTGAGTTCATTGCAGCATTTTGATAAGGCATTGAATCACCAAAATGACAAGATACAGTTTCCTCGTATCTGTGATGCTGCGTTGAACAAGGTTTTCGTTCCCTTTGCTGCACGCTGCGTCTGTAGAGCATCGTACTACCAATGTAGATGGCGTGGAAAACGACAAGCAATGTCAATAGAAATACTATAGTTCCGAGAAAAATGTTAGACGAATATGTTTGTGCCAAACTGGTCCCACTTTCTATTAAAAAAATATCAATATCGTAAGTGGAACGAAAAACTATTCTTTGTCTAAGCGCATTCTATAATGTATAAATATAAATATAAAAGATTCATTAACACTTAAATCTCATTGAATTATATTCCTGATTGTTGTCCGTTTGTCGGTATGTTAAGCATAAATATCGGTAATGCAAACAAGTTTTTTCTTCCAAATTTTAGATATCTTAACTACTAGTAAATTACACGTCTTTCTCACTTTAGAAGCGATATCTGTTTAGTTGTTTAAATAACTTAATGTTTCGAAAAAGTGCAAAAATGCAACTTTACAGTGTATGCATGTTTTTAAAAACAGGTTTATAAAATTCATTCGGTTTTCTTGCGTCAAAGTTTCTGTTGACAGTGTAAAAGTTTCTGTCAACTTATTCAAGGGTGTTTTTAACACTTCACACACTTAACATTTATACATGTAAATCAATTTTCATTGAAAGAAATATTGAAAAAAAAAACCAATGTAATTCTTTTGTGTTGGAGATTTAAAAATACCTTCTCAATAATGTGATAGGCTATGTTCTAATATTAAAGTCAAATCCAATATTGTTTGAATTTAGATCAGTTTAATCATAACACCTTAGTCTACGATGCCGCCATGGGATTCATAAAGGTGAAATCATTTTTGATAAATTTCCGAAGATCAGTAACACCAATGGTATAAACAATGTGACCCATAGGCCTCTTTTTGAAGTGGTCATACAAAGAACATAATAACTTTCATTTACAGTTAAATATTAATATTACCTGTACTGATGCATCCCTTTGAGGGATGGCAATACTGCTGGGTACAATAACATTGCTGCTGACAGTCATCTCCGAAACTTGGGAATCGACAAGTGAGAGAACAATTGACGCCAAAGTAGCCTGACTCACAGGCTATGAATATTAAATAAAATTTATTATAACCTTTTAATTACAACCTTTATTCAAATTTATTATCGTTTATTTCTGATTGACAATATCTATTTGGTTTTTGTAGAACAGTCCTTCAAACAATCTATTGCAATTCCCATGGGTACAAATTTCGACCTTTTATAAGCAGAGCCATTTTTGTATTCATATGAAGCATAATTTGTTCAAAATCTTTTACATGAAAAGAAGAAAACACTTGTTTTAGATATATTGATGACGCATTGTCAATTTACAATGGTTACTTCCATTCTTATATCGAAATGATGAAATATTTGGATACTACGAAAAGCACCCAAGCCCAAAAGACCACTAAGCATTACAAACCAGGAGCTGAGCAAGCACAAACCTCCAAAACATAATATAAGGGACCAAGTGCCATAAAAGAGTGAGCATCCCCCGCCGACTGGCTACATTATCGCGCGCTTCTTGTCACGCTTTTGGCAATTCAGTGTGTAAATAATGCTTAAGAATTAGTATGAAAAATACCAGTCAGCATCTGCCTCAGATAGCATTTGCCGACAACGTCACTGCATCGACCATAAAACTCACAAAACGACAACCGAAAACGAGACCGCCGACACCCCTGCCTCACCAACCCACCATGTTTTAGAAATTGTCACACGTAGAAAATGCTCTGCGCACCGAATCAATTAACTGAGAGACATAAACCCCTTATGCTGGCGATTAGGGCACATCGCAACACAAGCAAAGGAAGCCGACGATCGAGAAGTCGAAATCATTACGGCCACCACAAAGCCTTGTTGCCAGATCACCATCAACGCCCTTACCCATAAAAATACCAAAAGTCTGAAACAGACGTATCAGACCCTGCGGTATCCCTGATCTAAAGCCAACCGAGATATACTGCGTCTGCTCAAGAATGGAAATAACAATTGTTAATAGACAATCCGCCGTTGATACATAAATGTCGAGCTGAAGGTCACTGCAAGCACCCAAACACCAACCCACCCCTTTTCCTGCAAAATATATTAAAGTAAGCTTGAAATTAAAGAAGTCACAGTCTGACACATCTGTTTTATATTTGGATATATTACCGGTAATAGAAAAGGCGTTAATAGTAATCTAACAAGAAAGCATTATGATAAAACTGATAACTTTAACTTTTCAATCGTCAACCGTCAACTTCCCTTAGAGTTTATTAGTAGGATATGAGAATGTGCGCTAAAACTCCAGCTTTTCCTTCCCAACATGAAGAAATTTGTAAAATCAGAAAGGGTAAAAAATGAATAATTATATCCTTTTTTATATTTTCAAATTTTATCTCTTCTTCATCTTAAAATTTATTTTATCTACTCTCTAAAACAGTTTATTTTTGTCTTATCTATTACGATTGTCTTTAATTGCCACAGGGAATGTACGAAATGTATAAAGAATACAATTTTTTAAATAAAACGATACTATGTACGATTTCTAATTAATATTAATAAGAATGGTATAATCTGTTGAGATATTCATTTTATTAATAAGAATAAGTTTTATTTTAATCATTGGTTTGTCATTCATTTCATAGATGTGTTAATTTAAAAGCTTTCTACATCAGTAAGCTATGAAGAACATCCAATTTAGTCGCCCGCAGTCGCGCAGTGGTTAGAGCGTTTTCTGTAGAGTTACGTAAAAAGGAGTTAATCCTTATATCGTGGGTTCAAATCCCACTGCGAAACGTGGAGACATCTTCGCTATATGAGACCGTATAAAGCAAGATTCTGTATTGCAATAGTTGACACACACACACACATACACACACAAATCCTCTCTGCTAAAATGCCGAGTAAAGGTCTAATTTTGAATACCTCCACCAGCAATTGGTGGCGATGATTGAATAATTAAAGAGAAGTAAACCAAGAAATAAATAAATAAATAAATAAATCAACAACAACAACGAACTATCAAATGAAATATCATATTTCTAATAAATTTGATAAAATATCATAAACTACTCTAAATTCTTTTAAGAATAGATTTAAAGAAAACTTAAAATAAAAATATTTACCTTTGCAAATATTTTTCTTGTTATCCAATATTTGATCATAAGGACATGGCATTGACGACACTCTGCAAGAAAAAAATGTCTAGATGTATTTTAATGCGGAACCAGAATATTATTTACATTTTAAGAATTTCAAGAGTTTCTCACTTTACAAGACTATTTACTGTCCACAATGAAGAAAATGCAACGGGTAAAAATGAGACTCGACAATTCATTCCTATGTTATAAGAATTTAAACCAGAGTCCCGTTCATTCTCTAAAACATTATCTGATATGCCAGATATAATATATCATGACACATTGAATTGAATATTACGCATTTTAAGTTAACATCCGTTGAAGGGAAGTAAGGAAATATTTCTTTTTCATTTTTTATTTATATCCAAAATATAAAAAAAGTAGAATCTCGTATATTCGTGTGGCAGCCCTTTACACTTCCATATGAGTGTCTTTTGTTTTCGGATTTCTTCAACTAACTTTCTTTGTGGGTCAAAACTCTATTCAAGAAAAAATGGAACCTGTATATATAGCTACCTTGTCAATAGTCAACTGCAGAATAATTTTATCAAAACATTCTGATTTTAAACATAAATACCCAGAAGTTGATATTGAAAAGATTCTTAAGCTTTTGATTTACAATATCTATTAGTTTTTGGAGATCAGGTCTTTCAACAATCTATTGTAATTCCCATTAGTACCAATTTCATCCCGCTGTTAGCCTACCTATCATTGTATTCATATAAAGTTATTCAAAAATATTCACTTGAGTAAAAGAGAAAACACCGTTCTATTCTCAACTCGATGTTTAGATATACCGACGACGTAAATTTTATCAAATAACAATATAAACTTCAATTAATATGTCGACTCGGTGTCGCCTAGTAAATTAGATAAAAAGATACCACACAACTGCTTCATGTTTTACAAAAAAGACATCAGTTGTAACCTAACAATCAAGATTTTCTGGTAAACGTGATTTTAGATTTCTATAATCAGCTTCCCTTACTTCAAGATAATTAACACAAACACATTTTCTTATTTCACACAGAAAAGAGTTACACTGGTATTTTATCAATACTGTAGGTTGGCAATAATTCACGATTGTTTTTTTAAATTCCACTCAAGTTAGATTAAGCTGGAATCTATATTTTGTGGCGGAAGGTTTTCGGAAAATGATCAATTTTTCCCTTTTGAACTATATACAGTACTGTTAATTTTAGATTCCTATTTTTCCATGCTGGTTGCACACAAAGCTGTTTTTTTACATTAAAATGTGTTATGCCGGATCTGAAATATCTATTAAACTATATCTTATGATTCTTTCAACGAATTGTAAAAATATATATAGTAAAAATATATTCTGAAAGTCCAGAAAAACAAAGAGCCAATTTTTACATAAAACTGACACTTGTTTATTAACATGTTGATGTTCTTTTCTGAATATTTAAAACATCTTGGACCTTTCTGCTTAAATTCAAAAAAAGTTTAAGATTTTAAAATAATTTTCTTGATTATTGAATTTTTAATGCCAGAAAAATCACATTTGTGGGAGCAGAAAAGTCAAATAACTGATTATGGGAAGCAAATTGAAACTTTCTCATAGTCAAAGACTTTATTTATAATGCTTTATTTGGATAAAAATGCAATAATGAAATAAAAAAGGGAAAATTTCAAAGATGTAATTTTTGATTAAGAAACAGATTTCAATGCACAAAGGTCATATTAGATGTACTGTAGTGCCAAAAGAGGCATATTGATCTCATTTAATTGGTTTTTTTAATTAGTTACGTGTGCAGAAACTAAAAATTATACTTGAAACAAAAGTTTGAGACTTTAAAAATCAGGAGCCAACCTCGTTAAGCAACTTTTAAAAACTTTTTTTTTCAGGAAAATCACTGCTGTATGTATTTTTGTTCTCTATTACAACAGGACAACGTAAAAATGGACTATGTTCTGTTAATGTATAAATACCTTTGGAATAATATTAATTTTTGCACAGTACTTTGTTGAGGACGAACCATTTATTTCATTATATAATACCACAACTACACTAGAAATGTAAGCTAACCGGATTAAGACTATAGTTTCTTGTTCATAGCAAGTCCTGATGTTACGACAATCAGGGACATGATCTACATACGAAATAAACGAGACAAATTGATTAAACAAGAATATCAACAGTCTCGTTCAAAGGCGTCATTTCACGATACTTATGGTCGATTCCAATACAATCAATCATTAAGTCGAATGGTGACTAACTTTTACATATCTATTGCATTGTCAAGGGATTTTTCAGGTTTCCCAATCATGACTAAAGCACACAGCGGCTGTGACTGCTCGACAGAAGATGCTTACTCCCATATGTCACCGATTCCACTTCTGATTTTTTTAGGCCAATGTTTGCTCTACTTTCGATGTGTAATGTTTCAATGGACTTCTGAGTTCTGACCTTGTGTTCTGTTTATTATCTCCATATTTGATTTCATCATTTGAAAACCATCTATCCTTCTGTGTTCAATTATCCAGAAGTGAAAAAGAATTAGACAGATTACATGTTCAGTACGGACTGGTCCCTGCCTACAAAGCAGGTAACAGCATTGTCTTAGTTTGTAAGGTTCAATATATAAATTGTATTTTAAAAGAACTTGGAATTAACTATACAAATGATAATCCTGCTTATACTCATACTTCCCTTTCTAAGGAAGAAATTCTTCAAAATCAAATGTCAGTTGTAAATATTTTTAATATTCCACAATGCCAAAATGAATTTAAACTACCTGATGTATATTGGATTCCGAAATTTCATAAAAATCCTTACAAACAAAGATGCATTGTGGGTTCCAGTAAATGTTCAACCAAGCCTCTTTCGTTACTCCTCACTAAGATATTAACAGTAGTGAAGTAAAAAACTTCAAGAGTACTGCGCAACAATATATTCAAGAAGTGGTGTGAATCATGTGGATACTGAGAACTCAAAAATTCCAAAGAACTTTTGGACAATTTGAAATCATTAGAATTTACCTACGACTTTTTAACTTTATGCACAACCATTCCCCACGATAAATTAAAGTCCAGGCTTTTTGATATCATTAACAACTGATTTTTCAATAAAAATGGAACTTGTAAATTCACTTACATGGTCATTGGATATTTCCAATTTATCTTGTTAAAACACATTCTAATTGCACACATAAGTACTCTGAAGTTGATATCAAAGAGATCCTTGAGTTTCTGATTGACAATATCTATATGTGTTTTTGAAGACCAAGTATTCCAACAATCTATTGGAATTCACATGGGTACCAATTGCGCTCCGTTATTAGCAGACCTATTCTTATATTCATATGAAGCAGAATTTGTGCAAAATCTAATGCATGATAAGAAGAAAACACTTGCTGTGGCTTTCAACTTCATATTTAGATACATAGACGACGTATTGTCAATTAACAATGGTCATTTCCATTCCTACGTCGACACGATGTATTCTGGTGAGCTTGAGGTAAAAGATACCACAGAGTCTGACACATCTGTTTCATACTTGGATATTTTCATTGAAAAGGACGTTAATGGTAATGTAACAACCAAGCTATATAATAAACGCAATATCATTAACTTTTCCATCGTCAACTTCCCTTACTTATGCAGCAATTATATTCATCACCTACATACGGAGTGTATGTATCTCAGTTGATTCGATACGGAAGAGCGTGTTCTACGTTTGAACAATTTCTAAAACGAGGCAAATTATTAACAAGAACGTTGCTGAAGAAAGAATTTCAACAGTCTCGTTTAAGGTCTTCAATCCCTAATAGGAAGAAATTCAATGAAATTGAAGACATAACAGATATATAGGCATTGAATACTCAGTTAATTTAGACATACTTCCCATTTATTACTATAAGTATGTTTAGTGGGATGTGTCCTAATTCATGACCTTGAATTTTGGTAAGAGTTATCTCCCCTTTTTTAATTAATAAAAAAAATCAATGAAAAAAAATTTAGCTGGTAAAAAAATTGTTTTTAATTATCATTCTATTTATAATATTTTAATGCATCTATCCACCACAGGATTTATTGATATTCAAATTATTGTAATTTTTATTGTGAAAAAATGCTTTTCCCCATAGATTTCAATGCAATCTTTGTTAATTAACTACTGCTTAATGAATGAACTTTTTGAAAATTTCTCGTGGGCAATCCTTTTCCACTATAAAATGCTTTAATGTAATATCAGAGTATTGTGTACTTGACGGACATTTAAGGGTAGAGAATTTGGTACCATTAGGGATTGAAATCCTTAAAGTCATCATTTCCTAAATTTTATGGTCGTTAAATGACCTTGTCAGCAAATACATTTTTTCATTGAGTTAAATGCTGACTGACGTTTTCATACATTTCTGCACCCATTATTTATACATTGAATCGACTATGGGTGTTTCCGTTATTTCCCGATCATGACAAGGAGCACACGGCGAGTGTGACCGGTCAGCAGGGGATGCTTACTCCTCCATGGCACCTGATCCCACCGCTGATGTTTCGGAGGTCTGTTTGCTCTGCTCTTATTTTGTATTGTTTTAGGGACTTTGAGATTGAATAACGTTCGTAATCTCCATATCCTTGTTGAGGAAGTGCATTGTCTCATCCATGGACCTTAAGGGTCATCAGAAAGAAAACTACTACGTTTGTGGCATTGGGAAGAAAGTAATTGCATATCACTTATGTTTATACTACATATTATTTGAAAATTCCTCAAACACCAATTATAATTATTATCTTTATATGTATAAATGAATTTCTCTAATTTCTTTGAAGCATACATTTTGTTTCTGAAAATAACACTGATACACAATTCTACTTCTTCAAACATTATTTATAATTCACTTCCAGTATTTAAAGCTTTAGGCATCACACAATACGTAAAGATTATTAAAATTTAATTGCAGTGATATCATATTCCTCTTCAAAAATGCTTTTTTTGATATAAAGAGTGGATGAACCGGAATAACCGATGATCATTTACAATGAGAAAATACATTTTCACTTCCGTAATATATTAATTTCTAGCTTTCCTTATGTCTATACATACGAGGTCTTTTCACATGGTTCTACTCAATGCATTATCCACCATCACTGAATCGATGAATTGTTCCGTTTGTCGTATTCTTCGAGAGAAATGTTTCCTGTTTAAAACTGCTATAACTATTATTGAGAATATAACAAGACAAAAACCAACTGATGTTAATATTCCTATCATGATCATGATTCCCGACGACTCCCTTTTCTGCGGTCCATATTTTGTTGCAAAAATACCTGTTCGAAAAAGAAGAATAGAATAGTTCAAACCGACATTTTTAATATTTTTTATCTGCAACTTTAGCGTAGAGCGTAAACATTTTTTAAAATAGAAAATTGCTTTGCATGAAGCCAAACAAAATACAATAATTTGTATATTATTTTTGATTTTATGTATGAAATTACTTGTTTGCCTTGTCTTGGGAGTAACGGAAGTTACATTATTATAACTACATCCAAACGATACATTGCACACATGTTCTTCACAATCACACTCGCTTTGACAATCTTCTCCATAATTAGGAAATCTGCATGGCCTTGAACAGTTTATTCCAAAATAACCAGCTTTACAATCTTCAATAAAAAGACAGGGTATTATGAAAAGTACTCTCAAAATTTATTTAATTTTTTTCTGAGTATAAATGAGCGTTCCTAAGTTCATCCGCATTTCACAGCAAATTATGCTGCAAGGATTTTAGCAAAACATAATTTACAAATTGATAAATTGTAAGCCTTGTCATAAACATATTTTACAGAGATTGCAAAGTAACAATCTTCAATAAGACCAACTTTAGTAGAAATACTGCTGTGCTATTCTTTTTTTTTATATCATTTCAGCAAAAATATTTATATAGGAATTAAATTAGTACAAAAGATATATTAATGATGTACATGTATAATTCAATTTCAATACAAATAAAGGAAAATACTATGAAAGAGTAGCCCTAAATCATTATAAATGATCCGGAAATCCGCCAATTAAATGTCATGGATCTGCCAACGTTTTTTGGAATTATTTTTTTTAAAATCATCTATACTTTTTTTTTTTATTGAAAATCATTATCGCCTTACCCTTGACTTAAAAAGAAATTAATTTCTCAGTAATACTGAGCTCTAGCCCTTTGAAACAAATAATTTTATCATTTTTCAATTGCTTCCTGCTTTCGCACCAATTCATATAGCCATTTTTATACCCCCCGCTTGAAAAGCGGGAGGGTATATAGTAATCGTTAATTCCGTCCGTCTGCGTTGAAATCTCTTATCCGCAACTCCTCCTAAACCACTGAGTAAAATTTGATTTTATATTTTTGCACCTCTTATTTTACTTTTTGATCCGACACATATTTTGCTTTCCAGCCACAGGAAAACATGGACTTTTTCACCAGTTTTAACCATATGGGAGGCGGGGGGTATCATTTAGTGAGCTCATCACTCACAGTACCTCTAGTTATTATACCCCCCGCTTGAAAAGTTGGAGGGTATATAGTAATCGGTATTTCCGTCCGTCCGTCTGTTACGCTTTGGGTACCAATCTCTCATCTCTCAACTCCTCTCATACCACTGAAGGAAATTTAATGAAACTTTCACAGAATCTTTATTATATATTGCCATTGTGCACCTCCTATTTTACTTTTTGATCTGACATATATTTTGGATTTTCCAGAGCAAAACATGGATACTGCCATTATATTCATATGGGAGGCGGGGGGTATCATTTAGTGAGCTCATTGCTCACAGTACCTCTAGTTTTACACAAATGTTGATGTCCACTTCCCTAAGTTATATTTAAAGTCAAAATCACTCATTGAATATTTGATCATTATTTCATGAATAAAAAAACAGACTGTAATTTATTTTCTACAAAACCAACCAGAATTAAGCAGTTTGGGTATTTTTTACGAAATTCGAGCGTGTAAGATGTCATTTGAATTGCAATTTTGAACTAATTAACACATTCCAAATTTAACGACTAAATTTTCCGATTTAAAGTGATCAAATTAGTGTTTTATTGTCATTTTACATAGTTGTACTACGCTCAGTAAAATATTCACAAATCCTTTTTCCTATGTAAACGACATTAAGAAATAATTTTAAAAAAAAAAGATGAATATCCGCCATTTTGAATCGCCATAGTGACTTTTAACTTACAGCTGCACTATCATTCAATTGTAGAATACTGTTATGTCGAGGGAAAAATACAAATCTGCAGTGTATGGATATTTGCAAATGTAAAATCCTGAACAAAGAAGAATATAGAAACAATAGACAAAAATGTCTGAGATAATACGAATTAAGTGTAAAAACGACTAAATTTTCTGAGTTTAATTACTAATGTTAGCATTCTATTATAATTTTTATAGTTTTATTACACTCAGTTAGTTATTCACTCATTACTTCTACATTTTGAACAACATTAAGAGAAAATTAGAAAAATTGGATGTCCGCCATTTTGATTCGCCATTTTGACCTCTTTCACGTCATTTTCATGAAGGCCAGCATATTTTTTCGGATTTAGCATACTCGAAATAGGTTAAAAAACTATGCTGGACCAAATAATAATTATTTGCCGTTAGAAGTTATTTCTAGCCTTCTTTTTAAAAATCAGGACCAGACTAGATGTCGTTAAAGGGAAATTCCTTGAGAGGGTTTGGCCATGCTGTATCATCACTCTTAAACAGCATCCCTTGAGTTATTTGAAGTTGTGTCAACAAATATAAGAATTTTATGTTAAGCTATAGGAATGTTTATTTTCTACTTAAATTTTTTTTTTCTGTTATTGTGATTCCCCTAGAAAAAAATGATATAATGTTGACATAAATACTAAAATTACTAAGAACCCCATTCTCAGCAGTCTCTAGAATTTATGATTGTTTTGAGGTACACGATCCTTAGCTTCTTAAGTTCAGGTATTGGGTACTTGACAATACTTACAAATATATCACCGTATTTTCAAAGTAATGTGTATTTACCAACGGAAATTCTTCAAACTATATCCTTAATTTAAATCACATATGTGAGGGAAAATACTAATTTTCAGGTAATGCGATTAGAAATAGATATCGTGTATTTTCTGCTAGAAAATGATCAACAAGTATAAAAACTATAGTTTTCTGTGCATATGAAGAAAATTGCATGATTTTTTAAATATTTAAACTACACTTTATTTCTTGTAATGGTTTCAATTCTGGTGGATAAAGGGTTTCCATATCTTTATCACATCTCAGATCATTTCTTACCAAGGATTTCGTAGAATGCCAATGAACCAGGTATTTTACACTAGATTAAAGAGAACGGGAACTTGTTAAATATGTAATAAAGATACTGATAAATACTTTTATGAGGTAAAAATAAGAGTTTTATAAGGCTGTTTCTAATACTTATCACACCAAGATACATAAAATGAAAATTGTTGCTTGAAAAGAAACCACTTTCAAGTTTTATTTTGAGACTTTTTGAATAAATTAATATACTAAAGATTTATACTTCCTAGGTCAGGATTGGATAACCTTAAAATCTAAAATAAATTGAATCAAATATGTCTTCACATATACCTGTAGATTGAACTTAAGACAAATTATGTTTTGTTTGAATTTCTCAATCTGATAAATACTATACTAGCATCATTAGAATTATTTATCTGCATAAAGCTCGAGCTATGAGTGGAGTTTTTCGTTATTTTATCCGCAGGTTATATTGTTTATTTTCTTACAATTAAATTTTCTTTGAAAACCAACTTTTTTAGGTATCTGCTCGATTATGATCAAGCTTTATATTTAAGATGCATCATATTTTGAAGAAAAATGATCCCCTAACTAATATTTAATTATAGAAACATCATTAATGGAACTATAAAGTCCTAATAAAGGGTTTACTTGTTTTGGTTGGCTTAACAGGGAAAGTTGTAACATCATCGTAACTGCATCCAAATGATACATTACAAAGGCGTTCTTCACAATTGCATAATCCTTGACAATGTGATCCAAAATTGGGATATCTGCATTGCTGCGAACAGTTAATTCCAGAAAAACCAGGGCTACATTCTGGAGAAAAGTTACATAATTAATTTTTATATTTTGCCTTATGAAAATAAATCTTATCTGAATGCTTTTTAAAAAGATTTGCCTACAAATATTTAGAATGAAACAAAAATTGTTTTCCTTAATCATAAAAACAAACATCAATCCGTATACGTCATATGTTTGATTGTGAAATAACACCTGTTAAACTATTAAAATGTTGACGAAACGAGAAAACGCGATTATTAAATACAGAAACCCCTTACCCCGACAATTGCTTTCATTTTCATCCCAGATGTAGTCCTCAGGACAAAAATATGAAACCTTCCTGTTAAACAAAAATTGAGTCTCATTATTTTTTCCTCTAAGTTGTTTCAATTATTACACCTGTCTACGCATGTTAAATTGTACTCGAATTTTTTCAGATACAATGCAATTAAATGCAATATTCACTTTGAAAATCCAGTGATGATCGCAAATGAAATGCATACAGTGCATGGCAGTGATATCAGGTTCATTTCTGATTGCCATATACTGCGTTAGATGTCATCTTTTCATTTAGATAAAATTTTCCCAAACCTATTTTTCAATTGACAACGATTATTTGTCCTAAAAAAGCAAAATGCAATGACACATCATTTTAAAGCAATAAGGAAATTGAGATAAAATTTGGGCGAATATCATTTTTCACAAAAATAAAGTGATTGAAATGCACATACGAATCTAAAAATATTACAATGTGGAAATAGAAACATTAAAACAATATGCGGAAAATTTAGTTCTTACATGGAACATACGGAAATGACGAACAGTATTAATCTTTACAAACAAAGATACATTGCGGGTTCCAGTAGAGGTTCAACTAAGCCTCTTTCGTTACTCCTCACTAAGATATTGACAGTATTGAAGGAAAAACTTTGTTATTTTGTAAACAGAATTATATCCCTAGTTGGGTTCCACGGTGCAACAATTGCGGCCACGTATTTTTCAAGAAGTTAGTCTGGTGAACGGGTAGCCTTTATTCAGGAGTCGTATATTTTACTGCATGGGCATTTCTTTCTCCAGCCGGTAAGCTATTTTCTTTTTAAAAAATTTACCATCATTTGTAGTTTAACGTTTTTAGGAGATAAAGTAATTATTGTTTCAAATCACAAGATTTTACCAAAATCAACAGCTCCATAAAAACTTTCCCGCAATGACTTTTCAATTTCTTTATATACAACCATTCCCAAAAGTCAAACTCTCAATTCTGGTTTTATAAATTATTTAAGTTTCAAGGCTTTTTTATATCAGTTTTGATTTTTCTATTTGATTGTTTCTGCTTTTTCAATAAAAATTGTGTTTAAAGTTAAATCTTTATTTCATTGTCAAATTTAAGTTATATTTTGTTTTCTTTGTGAGAGAGGGTGAGTGAGAGTGAGTTTGTTTTGATAATTTCTTGTTTTGTTTATTCATTATCATTTTCTCTACTATCTGGAACTTTATGAATTTCATTTGCAAAATTATTGTTAAAACACATTAAAAACTGATTGCACACACAAGTACTCTGAAAAATTATTTTGTTGACACACACAAGTCAAAAAGATGCTTGAGTTTCTGCTTGACAATATCTATGTGGTTTCTGGAGACCAGGTATTCCAACAATCTATTGGAATTCCTATGGGAACAAATTGCTTTCCGTTATTAACAGTCATATTTTATATTCATATGAAGCAGAATTTGTGCAGAATCTTATGCCTGAAAAGAAGAAAACACTTGCTGTGGCCTTCAACTCGACTTTTAGATATATCGACGGCGTGTTGTCAATTAACAATGGTAATATCCATTCCTACGTCGATGCGATATATCCTGGTGAGCTTGAGATACCACAGAGTGTGACACATCTGTTTCATGCTTGGACAATGATGGTATTAATATAGACGTTGATGGTAATCTAACAACCAAGTTATATGATAAACGTGATGACTTTAACCCTTCTATTGTCATCTTCCCTTACTTATGCAGCAATATACCTTCATCACCTGCATACGGAGTGTATATATCTCAGTTGATTCGATACGCAAGAGCATGTTTTACGTATGAACAATTTCTGAAACGAGGTAAATTATTGACAAGCAAGTTGATGAAACAAGAATATCAGGAGTCTTGTTTGTAGTCATCATTTCGTGCTTTCTATGGTCGATACATTGACCTTGTCAACGAATACAATTTATCATTAAGTCAAATGCTGACTGACGTTTTTCATACTAATTGTTAGTCCATTATTTATACACTTAATTGACTACGGATTTTTCCGTTATTTCATGAGAAGAAGCACACGGCGGGTGTGAATGGTCAGCAGGGGTTGCTCACTCCTCCATGGCACCTGATCCCACCTCTGATGTTTCGGAGGTCCGTGCACGTGTTTGCTCTGCTCTTATTTTGTTTATCATTTAATGGACTTTGAGATTGAATACTGTTCGTTATCTCCATATCCATCTTTATTGAAGATCAAAAGTCCATAAATCAATACAAGTATATCATATAAGCAATGTAAGTATTCAACAGATGAATGGAAGTTTCCATGAATAACTACTTCCCATAATGTCCATGTGTTGCTATATATTGTTTTTAAAAACCACAATGTGTAAAAAAATTGAATAACCATACACAAGTTCTATCAAATGTTATGCTGAAGTTTTGCTATATGTGACGTCACAATGTGAAACACATAATGCCAATGTCCATGTTTGTGTCTATGGGTTCAAACCTGTTAAATACGTATATCGAATAAAAAAGTAAAATAATTTGTACACACTGGCAAAGGACTGTATGATTGGAGATCGATTTAGAAAGTTTAAAAATAAATTTCACCTGTGAAAGCAAGTTTGAAAAGACATGTGTTTTTAATTAAGCAATTTGCTATCAAAGACCTCCAATTTACACTTTGCTAATAGTTGTATATCTTAACAAGAATATAATTATTAAATACCGAGGATATCGTTTACTTCAGATTTTAAACATATTAAATATGATAAAAGTAGGCCCTCCTTTCACTTTTCAAGACAGAAGATTTGGGTTTTGATGGTCGCCATGCTTATTTTTGGAAAGGATTTTCTTATCCACCAATTCTGTTGCCGAGATTTGATCATTTCTGACAAATGAGTTGTTTTTGTAATAAAAATTAACTTACACGGAAAGAAATATAAAAGTCACAAAAAACTTTCAGAAACATGGATTATGCCACATGAAAATCTGTTTAAAATCAGAGAGTGTTTAAAATATATAACACTGAAATCAAATATTGTTTTTAAAGGAAATAAAAGGAAAATAAAGTTTGCGCCTAATTTTACACGATGCAAATGTTAAGGCATTTTTTTCCCATATTTGTATTAAAATGCAAAATTGAAACTGTTTGATGGACCTTGGATCAGGACAGGGTGGTTTTGAAAAGTTAGAACTGAGAAATTATTTTTGTTTTAGGGTGTTAGACAGGGTATCATGGTCCTTGTTGCTCCTTTGCCAGAGAGTACCCAGATTAAATTATTTATGTATGCTTTCAGAATTTAATAAGATGTGAAAAGGTTTTGTCTATCATTTACAACTAGGATGTACAAAATGTATGAGTATAATGCATGGAATGTACCGCATTTCCCTAAAATTGAATATATTTCATTTTAAAAAATCTGTTTATTAACTTTCCTTATCTGTGTTTGGCCTTATAAAACTTACATTTAGCATACACAAAACAAGTATTTATTTAATCTTGATGATAACATATCATTTTTAATAATTTTTTTTTTTTACTAGAATGTCCTAACAGAAACATATTATGCCCTAGTCTGTGTTTATCCTTTTTATCCTGATCAAATAAATGTTTTAAAGAAATGTAACTGCGACAATTTTAGGAATCAAATATCAATTTTTATTTCCATTGACGATAATTGAAGAGAGAGAGAGAGAGAGAGAGAGAGAGAGAGGGAGAGACATTTTTTTGATATTCCATATTATCCGATATGCGCTTATTAATTACTGACTTTATTTATGAGTATTTATTGTTGTTTCTTCACTTAACCTAAGTAACTACGCAATCACGGTTTTTAAAAAGTATTAACTTTCCAAAATGCATGTCTGGTGTCAGCAAATTTATTATTATCTGGAAGATACTAAAGACCTGATATACAGAGGACCTGATCTTCACCTGATTAAAATAAAATAAAAACTATAAAATCTTTGTTTTAGATTTTTAGTGATTTTTTTTTTGTTATTGATACATTTATCAAGAGAAAATCTTATTATTAAGGTATGAATATGTACATAATCAATGGTAGAAATTTATGCTGGAATAAGAACAAAAAATAAGAAAAACTAATGAGATGATAATTTTATTGACCTGATCTAGCTCAAAAACTAGTTTTTTTACTCATGAAAAGCGAGCAATAAAATTAACAGAAATAACCACTATGTACAGGATTGTTTCTTTGTGGCCCCTTCGTATCTGAGATGGACGGTTCACACACTGCCAAAAGTCTTCTTTCTTTATTGTGATAGCTAATACAGCATGTGCATATTACATGTACCAACGATAGATAATTAGGAGTTATTAACAACTAAACTATATGACAGACGCAAAGACGTAAGATTTTCCATTGTTTACTTTTCTTTTGTATTAATATTCAACTATTGCCTTATATAGTGCATATGTCCGTAAACGAATTTGATGCTATAAATGGCATTCTCAGAACAAACGATTAATTTTTAGAATGGAGGCAGAGGGCTGGAAGAATGGCCCCAGTTAAACAAATTGCTTGTCAATTACTTATGTTTATATTTGATTTTTTGTAGTGAAAGAATAACTGTGTGCTGTGAAAAAGAATCAATGTTTGTTTATACATTGAAGGACAATGATGCTGTGTAAAATTTTGCAATGGATTTATGTTTTTTATAAAATTGTCCCTGAACTATAATTACAGCTGTATATACATGTAAGTATTACTTAAAAAATCTAGCAGGAACAAGTTTTATAAAATGTAAATGCATTGATAAAGTACTCAATAATTGCCTCAAGTGGCTTTAATATTTGTTGAGATTCTGATTTAAATATAAATTAACAAAAAGAATTGAGTCAACATTTTTAGATCTTGTTTTTTTTTTATAAAGATATGTGTTAATTAATGTGATTGATATGGAATATAAGTTTTTTTTTATGATACTAAATTGGTAACATGATAGCTTTTTATATAATGCAGAATTTGCTGTGTGTGTACTTCTTTTTAGTGTAAGTATGTTTCTATGAATTTTAAACATTGTCAACAAAATTTAATATGACTTTAATTAACCAATCTTTATAAAAAAAAATGTCTCATGCAAAGGTTTTATAATGTTTAGAACCGGTCAGAAGATTTGTTCTGATAACAGAAGCATTGGTGATAACAAGAATGATTGTGGTATGTTTATCACTCTCGTAGATCTGAATGTTTGTGCAAAAGGAAGATTGGGTCTTAACCAATTTTATATTCGTAATATTGATGTGGGATGGAGAAAGGGATCTAAAAATATTGAAACTAAGAAATTGGTTTGGTTTTAGGGTGCAAAACGGGGTATCAGGGTTCAAATTGCTCCTTGCCTTGTCGATTCCCTAGTTATGGTGATTTCTGCCAGAGTGGATGTGAATGTGAAGAAAGATTTTGTAATCATATACTGGGATGCACAAAAGGTAGGAGAAGAAGACAAAATACACTTCACTTATAAATTCAATGTTTTTTTTTTCTTTTCAATATCCTGATTATTTCATTTTTTGAGTTTGATGTCATTCATGTCAGATATCTAATTGTGCAAAAATTTACCATACATGCTAGTCCTGGAGATTGACATTTCTGTATTTTGCTGTTGTTTTAATAGAATGTGAATTTGGCTATAATGGAACGAATTGTTCCTTAGTCTGTGTTTATCCTTTTTATGGTGATCAGTGCATGCAGAGCTGTAACTGCGACAAGGAATTGTGTAATAACGCTCTAGGATGCATAGACGGTAAGAGAGAGAGAGAGAGAGAGAGAGAGAGAGAGAGAGAGAGAGAGAGATTGTATTAATCGGCGGGTATGACCATATATCTAGTAACATTTTTTATGGGACTTTGGTGTTGGAGTTGCACTTCACAACGGATACCGTACACAATAACAATTTATTTATGACATTTCTTTTGAGTAATTTTGAATATAAAAGTATATTTACCAGTTAAACTCGGAATTTACAAATTATTCATAAAGATGTATCCATTCTTAACAAATATAAACAATGCATTTTAATTTTTGGAAAAGGAATGCCTCTTCAAAGCACGAAGATAATTATCGGAGTCCTCTCAGTGTGTGCGATGTTTATTATCATCGGTTTCGTCGTCGTTATACGTATTATTATCAAGAGGTTCTCGGAGAGAAGAAGAAATAGTCCTCAGATTGGATCAGCAACTCCGGATTATTCCTGGGATCTTTACAGACCTTACACGTATTATGACAAACAATGTTGTACACAAGATTTACAACCGACAGATAATGGAATTTACATGTTAGCTTATGCAAATAAATATGAAACTATCGATATGCGAAGCCATTCAACAATGGAATATTCAAGTTAACATGCATATTGAAGAAATTATGAAGTTATTGATTATAAAAGCTAATTAAACAATGGAATTTTAGGTTAGAAAATCCGAATTATAAGAAAATTATTGCAATGCGTGTACAGGAGATAAAGGAATTCATTATGGAGAAAAATATTCCAAAATCTAAAATAGATATGTATCTGTTTTTCTCTTTTTTTCCCTTATATATAAACATTTTATTAATAATTAAATGATTGGCGATGTAAATCCAAAGCTATGGATAACGACAAACTACTTTTGTTTGGTCAACAAGAATATATCTTAATAAATCTCACACTACGAATATTTCCGGTGAAAAATGGATTTTTCAAATACATGTATTCTGAATCACCGTATTGCTTATGTATCTCAGTTGATTCGATACGCAAGAGCATGTTCTGCGTATGAACAATTGAAAGAAAATAATTTATTGACAAAAAGTTGCTAGAAATCAAGAATTTTTCCAATCTCGTATCAAGGGCATAATTTCGTAAAATTTTAACGTGAAACAATGACCTTGTCAGCAAATACAATTTATCATTTAGTCAAATGCTGACTGACGTTTTTCATACCAATTGTTAGTCCATTATTTATACACTAAATTGAAATTATTTAAAATTGCTCTAAATCCCTTCATTATACATTGAATACCTTAAGATATGTATCTGTATCTCTCTTCATGGCACACAAATCTTTTATTAATGTTTTTGAAGTCCGTGTTTGCTCTGCTCCTATTTTGAATTGCTTTATGGAATTTTGATTGTGAATACTGTTCGTTATCTCCATATGTTTCATTTAAGGGAGAGATATAAATGAAATTACGCAAAACAATAAAAATGGGGGGGGGGACTTTTCGATTTTTAATTGTTTTCGTGTTTTTATATGACTTTTTAATGCTTTAAAATATTATTAAATTTTTTTCCTCTTGCAATTAAGTATTTTATTTCGTAAACATCTGGCAAAATTGTAAAATCTCTCGTTTCCTGATTGAAATGCAATTGAAAACAGCTGTTGATTTTTTATAACATACACGATACATAAGTTGATAAATGTAATTGTATCAGCTCAGGCAAAATACGAAACATAACTGATCACAAGAAAGAGTATAACAATCGAACAATTTTATGAAATGTGACGATATCAATTAAATAAATTTCATTCTAAAATGTCTCTTTAAAGATAGAAATAATGTAAATATCTCATTGGAAAACGATAATATGGTGTTTTACTATATATTGACTTGTTAATTATGTGTTCATTTTATCTTAAAATGTATAAAATCCCTTAAAGAGACATGGACACAGTTTCAGCTAAAAAGATAAAATTCATTTTTCTCCTTTTGTGTGTGTGTGTGTGTGTGTGTGTTTACAAGTATTTAACTGAGGTATTTGTAACGATCATCAAAAATCTTAATTACAGTTGTCTAGATACAAGACGGGTTTAGACCTTCAAATCTTTGTTTTGTAAACAGGACCCATGTCATGTTTTTGTTTACATAGGTTAATTATACTAGTAAAATTTCGTTCAAAGCAGATTTTTTTGATTAAAGGGGTTAAATTGAAATACAATTAGACAGTTTCTTGTGAATTGCTGAATCTTGTTTTTGTTATAAATATGATATTTTTTTTAATGAAAAAAAAAACATGACACAAGTCTTGTTTACATTATGAATAAGTTTAAGTTCAGTGTCTCCTTTGTAAATCAACAAATGAATTTCAATTTTTTTTTTCTGATCATTAGAGTTGCATTAGTAAGGAATTGTACACATTACATTTGGTTTTAAAAAATTCAGTTGAAACTGTGTCCGTGCATGTCCCCTTTATTTGATATTTTAGGTACTTTTGTAGAACTTCAACAAATCTGCACCTCTTGTTTATGTTCATGCATAAAGTACAACCTGCGTAAAAAAGTTTACACATGCTGAAAAAATTTAATAGTTTCTTTTCGATATAAATTACAGAGATTTGTGTAAAAAATCACAACGGGTGATAATAAAATTTTCAGCAATCGTTTTTTTAAATAAAGAATTTGTTTTTGCTTACAATACTGTTTGAAAGTTTTTATCATAGATGCTACTCATATGAAAACTATATTGTTTTAGTGAACGAATAGTTTAATATATTTTAGTAAGGCGAGTATTATTCATCCTTTTTTAAACTTATTTCTTATTTTATTATTTGATGTGTCCGTTCATCAGGAGTTTCTCACTCCTCCGTGGCAACTGATCCCTCTGATGTTTTGGAGATCTGTGTTTGCTCTGCTCCTATTTTGTATTGTTTAATAGACTTCTGATCTTGAATATTCGTTATCTCTATATGCTTCATTGAATCTAGTAAGTAAAATTCTTCTTTTTTCTTGTTTTGTATCTATACGATTTTTTGAACACTTTTATTGATCTTAACGAGGCTGGGGGGTGGCAGCCATTTTCAGACTTTTTTAATCTCCATATAAAGATATACAAAAATGATCGAAATTTAAAACTAAAATTTATGAATTTTTTCTTTGTCAAATTAATGTTGACAGCTTATGATACCATATCTAAAAAAATAAGTTAAATCTGGTGGTTACTTTGTCTTTAAATTATTGACCCCCCAGCCTCCTTAAATACCTGACTGGTGTATTTTAAAAGAAACGTAATGAACTTGTACATCGTAGTAGATCATTATAAAAATTATACATGTATATAGCATCTATCAAAATTACTTATCCCATAAAGCAAAATCAAAGCAAGGACACATCAATTTGCTGTCGTTCTATCACATAAGTATTTAATTGTTTTGTGTTTTTAATTTTCCCTTTTCATGACTTGTTATTACCTATTTTTCTATCAACTTATCCCATTTTCTGTCTAAAAAGTAAAATAATTTATGAATGCATTGCTTTGTTCTTTTTGACACAAACGTCATTACCGAATATTTATTGCTCTTTCAAATAAAGATATCCACTTGAACCTTAAGCTGTGTTTTTCTTCTGCGCTGTTTCAGTTTGACATGTAACATTTCAACATCAACCTTCAATTTTTATCCACTTTGTTAAAACAACAAGTACTTAATTATAAATAAAAAAATCCGCTGCAATATAAAAAAGTAAGATTTTCATAAATTTTACCTTGTTTAAATAAACTTTAATTGTTCTAATTGTACACTATAATGGTAAAGTACAACAACTTAATTAAGAGAAATTGTGTTTCCAGCTTCAGAAAAAAAAAAGAAAGACATGCGGACAAAAGGAGGGAGGACACTTCACGAAGGGAGGGCGGGCGTTATGGTATAATAATTTATAGCACAAGCTTTAAAATGTCTTCAGATATAACTGGAAATAAATGTTATACACTCGGACAGAATGTATTGACCTTGACCTTTAAGCCTTTGACACAACAATTAAGAGTGGTCTCTTATAGATCACAGTGAATTTTTGTATAAAATTTCATTACTAAAAAGCAAAAAAGCTTCTTGAGATATCGCAGGAAATGAAGTGTTAAAGACACACGAAACTACAGATAGACGGAGAGACAGCTAGACGGACGGACACAGAGACTCAACTTAATGTCCCCACTTTAAGTGAATGTGAGAGACGACAAAGTGGTATTTTACATTCTGTAGCCTGAATTTGTTACACTACTAGAATTATATTGTACTTGACGTTATTTTTATTTAAGAGCACCAATCATGTTTATGTTAATTGTTATTAAAGTAATTTATCGCTTCTCAAAATAATAAAGACTTCTTTTTTTCAAGAAATTCGGATTAAAATTTTCTCCACAAATCAAATTTCTTTCAGGTGAGAATTAATTATAGTAATAAAGTTAGGAAATTTCAATTTCACAAAATAAATGTATAGATTTTAAACCCTGGGAATCCATAAGTCCAAAGTAGGATGGAATGTCGTCTACCTGCCACGAATAATGTGGAAATTTAAAAAAAAAAATTCGATAACTTCCTCATAATACTCTAGAATATAAATAATTTTATAAATAATTTTATAGTGATATAAACACGTTATTCCGGAAAATTACTTGCACTTTAGATTATTTTAGCATTTCAAAATACATGAACAAAGTATATAAAGCATTATTTAAAAACAAAATTGAAAAAAACAAACAGCAATTATTCTCAAAAGTCTAATAAAGAAATTCGAATTATATTGAGGGCCACCAAAGATATTCAAAACCAAAAGGTGCGTTGACCTTAACATTGCGGCGGCCATATAGCAATATTTAAAATGATTCAAAATAGTATCTAAAGTAATTTAACAAACACACAGGTACCTCGAAGTCAATATAAAATAGAAATATCAGAGTTTTTCATTGACAACACCTAAGAAGTGATCACTTCATTGTTTCTATCGGTCTCTGAGTCTGTGAGCCTTACAGCATCTAAGTATGACATTGAGTCATCAGGAATGGGTTGTGGTACTTCATATCTATGGTATCGAATTGAAACTGATTTACTATCCCGTTGACGAATGGGCCGTCTACAAAGTATTCTCAATCTGAAAGTAAGGGCTTGGAAAACGACAAGCAATGTCAATAAAAGGACAATGATTCCGAGGAGGATGTTGGAAACATACGTATGTGTCACCCTGTTGTCCAGATCTTTTTCTACAAAAAAAAAAAAAAAAAAAAAAATTACATATATAAAATTTTTGATTGTCTTTTTCTTAGAGTAAATTTGATTTTTGAAACTCTTCTAAATATTTCGCTTCTAATTGATAGACTTTTTTTAAAAGCTTTTTTTTAACTATAAAAACGAAATTTCATTTAAAGGAACAATTAAAATGTGCAGCTATCATTCCTACCATAGGTAAATATACATCCTTTTGACGGATGGCAATACTTTGGTGTGCAATAGCATTGTTGCTGGCAGTCATCTCCAAAACTTGGGAATCGACAAGTGCGAGAGCAATTGACACCGAAGTAACCTGACACACAATCTTCAAAATAAAAAGTAAAGTTGTAAAGTTTCGGGGGCGCCCTATCGACAAGGGATGTCCCTTTTCCTAGACAGTTAATTTCAAGTCGTGAATCCTATGTGATCGGTGCTTTCTGTCCTGTTTACAGATCGTCACAGACTTGTAATGTTTATATAACACTGATTTGTTTTACTTATATTCGATTAATTACCGGTATATGACCACTTTGTGTGTAATATACATTCCATGGCACCTGATCCCACCTCTGATGTTTTATGGAACTCTGTGTTTGCTCTTCTTCTATTTGAATTGTTTTATGGAATTTCATACGTGCAATTTTCATTTTAATGATCGCTACATATTTATTCCTTATTTTAAATCTTTTTGCCTTATCACTATTCATGCAATAGTCTCATTTCACCAAATTATTTTTATATCCTTCTTCTCTTTTTCCAAAAAAAAAAAAATAAATAAATAAATAAATAAATAAAAAATAAATCAGTGGTGTGAATGAATTAAAATAAACATTTCGAAAATATACTCTCGAAGAAAATACATGAAAGGATTTTTTATGTTGCAGTAAAAAGATTTATTGATATTGTTAATAAACTAATAAAACATATAAACAAGGTTAAATTGTACTAAAATTTCCAGAATGGTATCTTTTTAGTCTTAAAGATAACAGAAAGGAAATTTTATTAAGTATAATATGTTAAATGAAAAAATTGTTCTAAATGGATAAAATAAGCAAGTTTTAAATCGAAATCAATTAAAAAATTTCATATTTTATTATTTAGAGAAAATATACAGGTACAAAAGTTAATGTATGGTAATGCAGAGGAAATTCGGACTAAATTTTTAATTTTTCATTTTTGTCAAAATTTTTTATTTCTTTCAATAATAATCACGAAGTAAAGGTTAAATGTATTTTGAAACATCATTTTGCAAATATTATATGTGTTAAAGCTCATAATTTATTTCAAATAATTGAATGCTACGAAATAAAGAAATTCAAAAATATGTACAAAAACCATTCCAGACAATATATCTAAATAAATTGATCATTGACCCCATATAAATTTTATACTATGAGAATTAGGGCATCAAAAGTAATTTGAAGCTACAGATAGTTTAGAGTTCTTTTCAGTCAGATTTTAGTAATATTCGATTTAAAATAGGGAAAAAATATAAATATGACAGAGGAAATTCGAACTGTTATAATTATCAGATTTCTGGCCCAAACTACAATCATTTCTTTATATGAAGCAACGCTGTTCCATTGCTATAATATTTCATTATTTAAAGAGTTTAGTTGCTTGTAATATTTTGTGTGTATAGAAAAAATTGGTCATTGTGTGAAAAATTGAGGTATTTCCCGAGAAATACTCAGGGGCCACTAGCATGAAAAGTAGGTCATTGACCTAGTTATTTGAAATTGAAATTTAACACAAGAATCATTGGTGTACAATGTGCAATAGGTGGTTTTTCGTTCTTATCAGTGGAATTTTTGGTCATCTGAGTAAAGGTATACCTTAAATCAGTTTGTTTTTTACTACATACATTTTTTTTATACAGTTATTCTTTCCATAGAAACTAAAACTAACATGTTTTAAAGTCTCAATCTTATCACTCTGGATTTAGTTTAATGAAAATTTAGGAAGTACTTTAATATGATTCAAAGAAATTAAGAGCATATATAACATGAATAATCTATAGGTATGTGCATTGATTATATATTGGTTCTAAAAAAGGTAAAAGTGATGCTTTGAAATTTGAATGATTTCCTTTGTATAATTAATATGAAAATCACGTACAGAATTCAAGATCAAAAGTCCATGCAAACATTACAAACCAGAAGTAGAGCAAACAAGGAACTATTAAACAAAAAAAAAAAATAGTAACAAGTGCAATGTAGGAATGATCAACCCCTGCAGACCGACACATTCGTCTTGTACTCTTTATTATGATCGTGAAATAAAGGAAAAATCTGTTGAGTTTTATAGTTCAATGTGCAGATAATGCCCTAACATATAACAGGCATTTGACCTACTGAAAGATAGTATTTCATTACAAGACTTTGTCCTTGTGCTGATCAAAGAGCTTGCGAATTGATGGATTTAATTATTTAGACTGCTGATATTTTTCTTTCATTTATCTGTTTGTCAATATCTTACCTTTTTTAGAAATTGCTATTATGCTATTTGGTGTCGAATCACTTGTGATTTAATACTCATAGTGCCCTCCAAAAATCAAGGCCTGCCTTTATTTTTACAAATATCAAATGACGCAGGCTTCTAAAAGCGCCGAAACCCTCTTAATTAGTTGTGACGTATAAGCAATAGACCAAATGCTGCATTAAAGGTGCATAAACACAGACTTGAAGTTAATATTTTCTCAGCTGTTTTGCATGATATCACGACTTATATATTGCAATAGTATTTTACACGAAAATATAGAAAAAATCTTATTTCATTTAAAAGTTATAGGAACTTCAAATTTTTTGGTCGGGTTTGATTGAAACATCATTGCACATCCAGAAATTTTGGCACCTGCAAATGCAGTTAATGCCCTCAAGTTGATTCGATACGCAGGTGTATGCTGTATGTTCGAAAAATTTCTAAAGTGAGACAAGCTTTGACCCGTGAGTAAATTTAACAATTAAAGATATAGACATTTTCTATGACCGATACATTGACATTTTGAGCGAATCTAGTCTTCTTTGAAGTAAAATGCTTTACGTACGGTTGTCATACCTTGTTATTAGATACGTTAGATATTTTACATTAATTAATTGTCTTCTGTTTGCTCAATCATAACCAAAAAAAAAAGAGAAAAAAAAAACTGTGGGAGTAACTGGTTGACAAGGGATCTCACTCCTTCGTGGTACTTGATGCCACTTTTAGAGATCTATCTGCTCATGATTGTTTTAATGGACTAGCTATTCGCTATCTTGATATTTGATTTGATGATATTAACCCAGTCAGTTAAAAAGCACTATATTCGTATCATAAATACTCAATGATTTACAATACTTCGAAAGAAACTATCAGGTATCAACCATTCATGTTGATTATGATATGGAAAAATCATAACTGATACCATGTTTTTCTTGTACAGCTGTATGTCATGAATTGAATTTTGACGGAAGGATATGAAGATACCGAACAGAATTCGATATCAAACTCCATAAAACAAAACAAAATAGGAGCAGATCTAGAGCAAACATGGACCTCCAAAACATCAGAAGTGGGATCAGATGCTATAGAGGAGTGAGCATCCCCTGGCGCCACAGGTCACATCCATCGTGTGCTCTTTGTCATAATCGGGAAATAACGGCAGAGGATGCCCACTCATCCAACGCACTTCATCCCACCTCTGATGTTCTGGAGGACCGTGTTTGCTCTGCTCTTATTTTGTTTTGTGGACTTTTGAGCTTCAACACTGTTCATTATCTCATATTTCATTCAGATAAGTTTTTAATTTTATTCTTATTCAAAAAGACGTAGATTATTACCCCGTGATTTAGTTTATGAAATGAATAGCATTCCTCAATTCTACAAAATACAGTTTTTTTTTTAATTCAAAACACTTACTTTTGCAGATTTGTCTCTTTTCATCCCATATTTTATCTGGTGGACAGGACTTTGGCGACACGCTTGAAAAAATGAAAAAGGAATTTCTGGAACATATTGCACTAGACACTTTTTTTAAAATTGTGATACAGTGGAAATTTGCTGGAAAGTACTTTCCTGTTTTAAACAATGTGACGTTTTACTTACGTTAGAAAACTATTTGCAGTCATTGAAGAAAATGCAACGCATAAAAAGGGAACAGAAGTTTTCATTTCTCTAACGTAAGCTAAGAATTAAAATTTCGCAATCCAGATCCTGTACTTTTCACAAAAAATTGCCTTTTATAAACTGCTTCATTTTGTTCATAAAATATAAATTTTAAATTTGTAATATGATAATGAGTTCTAACCAAGGAAGAAGGAAAATAAACTAAAACCATACTTTACAAAAATATATAAATTCATTGTGGACCCCTTATGTTCGTACTCAATCCTTTACGTTTTCTAAGATTTTACCTCAGTATAAAATGAACAACAGATTCATGTCCACCAAGAAGATAAAGATTTATGAGGGTTGTTCGAAAATTTCATGGACGATGTCAATCGTTGTTATATTACTCACTTGAAATTTGAAATAAGCACACTATTACCCTGGTACATGTATATGTAAAAATATTTGTTTTGTTGATGTGTAAAGTTTCATTACATTGGAATTTACAGAAATCAATTAACTTAATTTTAAAATCAAATGTTTTGTACCCACGGACCACACTTAACGGTAATGTAACGTCACAACATAGCATCCAATTTCTCAAAAGTACTAACATTATACATTTCACAGAGAATAATCCAATTCAAATTCATTAATTCTTTATTTCTAATGCTTGACATTTATTTTTTAAGAATAGCTCTCGTTGTCCTTTGATAAGGTTGCAATTTCTTTTATTACTTAAACTTTTACAGAATAAGCTACTCTGAAGCGCCTATGTCTTTCCTCTACGTTCCAACTTTTAAAAGTTTTGTTCAGACAATTACAGTTAAACCGTTTCTACACAGATTTTCCTCAATCGATAAAGAGTCTCTATCACTCTGACATTGCCTGTACTATTTGTACACACATGCACAACTTTGCTTGTGACATATTTCTTGATTCCTCCAACATTTTTAGTGTTTATTCAGGATTTTTCCTGAGTAAATCTGTAAATCAATTTTTTTAATTTGCGAGAACTTTATTTCTGCGTAATTACGTGTGACCGTGTGATCGCGAATATAAATCTTATGATAATTCAATTATTAAAACGCGAATTTTAATTTTAGCGAATGATAGTATTCCTAAATATTATATAGGGTAATAACCACAATTCGTGAAAATTTTGTTTCTCTCATTAAGAGTTAATTATTATCTCGCGTAAATAAAGTGTCGCGCATATGTAGTGATCTATAGTACACGAAATTGCATCGTTATCTGCTGCTCCGTGATGTTCTAAAACGTCATCGTTTTTGTCGTTTTCAATACGGACTACCTTTCCTCTCAAGTTGATGTCTTTTCAACAAAGCAAAATATAAAGTCATAATTTGTTATGCAAATCGATGTTACACTTCTTAATTTGAATTTCTAGGATGCTTTTCGTTTTTGCTCCATTTTACAGAGAATATGGACTACAGACATTATTTCGTGTATCATCTGTAACTTAAAAATTGCTAAATTATGACCTGCTCCGCGATCCGATTTTTGCATTTTTAAAATCTAGGTAAGTTCTAAATTAATCGTAACATTTTGAGAAAAAAAATAATATAAATCATTTGGATTTATTGTTAAAAACCTTCCACCAAGTTGGTTAACGTATGACGTCAAATAAAAAAGATATGACACTTGTCCACGAACTATTCAAACAACCCTCGTATTTTGAATACAAATTCGACAAAATTATGTCTTCTTAAATCATTATATTTTTATAACCATGGAAAATTGATCACACAATGATTTGAAATTAAATACATTGTAGTTATTTAAAAAATCTTTTATTTGGCATGATGGAAACTAAAAGTGGTTACAATCAAAAGCCTGATGATAGCAAACAATTATCTAACCTTTTACTTAAGAAGAGTAAAGTAATCAAGAAATAACCTTGAACCCCATTCAAGGGGTTATGGACCTCTCTTAGAGAATGAGAGAAATCAAATAAATATTTGAAGCAGCTTATCAAAGAGAAATGTCTATACCACCCCAAATTAATAGGTATTTTGCGTTTCGATGACTTTTGTGGTGGACAAGACCCCTCCCCCTCCCCTCATTCCGAAAAAAAATCCTGGAACTTGAAAATGTATTGACAGACCTATTCATGTCTTTGTAAAGTACATACCGGTATTCCTTTGTATATGCGGAAAATTTGAATTAAAAATTATTTGAAGTGATCATATTTTAAGTAGTTTATCTAAACTTTTTCTTCAGAACAGATTACTATGTTTGCGTTTATAAATAAATCATCAATTTATTTTATAATATTTCGTCAAATTTAAGACTACACACGACTACGAAGGGTGGATTCCTCTTCTTTACACCCCTCATTGAGTTTGAACACATTAATAATCAGATGATTCTATAGAACCAAACGCATCAGGGAAGCTTTTGAAGCATTTTTTGTTGGTTTTCATTATGACATACCGTTTTTTTCAATGCATCCCTATTGAGACAAAATTCAGAAAAAGGGCTTCCTTGCCTGGGACCCAACGATTACAAAAAAAAAAACAGAACAAAGCAAAAAATTACAGTCTTCATTCATGTAGCATCATTTTTGAAAGGGGCACATAGAAAAATAATTGACACTTTTATCTTAAAAACCCGGGGGTTGGAATAGGGGTAGGTGGAATGGTTCTTATTTTTTCACAAGACAATTTTTCGATCCATAATTATCATGATGAGATTTGGAACTAAATTTACAGTTAAACATTATGTTTGGGAAAAGCGGGAAAGGAGAGACCCTCCTATACTACGTGGCTGGTCTTTAGGCTACTTTATAATACTGAAAAAGCTTTCATGTTCTATATTCTTTCGGCACTTCTCCGTATGCGGATCTAGAGGGGGTGGTTACAGTTGGGTTGGAAGTCCGGACCCCTGCCCTCCAGAATGTACAGAGTTATTAAATTTATAAACTGAAGCAAATAAAAAAATACTTTGGACCCCCCCCCCCCCCCCCAAACACACACACGAACGACAACCACCAACCGAAGTAGTTTTGTTTTACTTATCGAAGAATTTCTGGTTTGATTATTTTGAACCCGTTGGCTTTCCATAGTTAAAATGAATAAGTTTCACTGCGTAGTTTTTAATCTTTTATTCAAAGTTGCATACAAATGGAATTTTAAGTGAAAAATATTTGCATAGAATAATAAGGATGGTTTCAGAAGGGTAGAATTTTGAATATCATAGAAGATTTATAATTTTGTATATTCTAGAAACTTATTATTTGCATCATTTACAATGAAATTAGGTCAGAAAAAAAAAAAATATATATATACAATCCAATCATTCATTTTTCATTTGTATCATCTGTCCTTAAGTAAGGTTTTTACACGAAGTGCAATAGTTTTTTAACTGTAAAAATGTGAAAGAAAAGCAAAAGAAAAGTTAGGAAATGTAAAGATAGTTTATTTTATAATTGACAGGAATACATCTTTAATGCCTGTGAAACAAAGAAAATGATCATATGTATAACATTGAAGCTATCAACCATATCAGTTAAATAGATGTAGACGAAACCTTTAAGAAATTAAAAGCTGATATCAAGTCATATTAATCTATAAATGATCACAGGAAGACACGGGACGCCCTTCATAATTCACCATGTCCTCTGAGGTATCAAAGCTTCTGTTCGTGACATGATGCACTGATGCAGGGTAGTTACTTTTATCAAACATTTGCATTCTTTTGGAGATCTGTTTCATACATAAAACAGCAGCTACTATTATTGAAATAATCACAAGTAAAAATCCAACGGAGATTATTGATCCTAACGTTAGCATGTTGATGGAGAAATCAGCTCTTTTAACATCATGGTTTTCATTTAACGTAGCTGTTATGAAGATAAAAGATCAAAATCAGTATCTAAAATATATACTTTGTTCTCCTTTTTACTGCACCCTCGGCAATAAAAAAAATTAAAGGGTTGGCATTGTAGGAGATTGTGACGGTGTTACATATTGTCGTTGGTAACATAATGCATCTACTCTCACTGTACATATTGTCAACTATCCTTACTTATGCAGGAATATAACTTGATCACCTGCATATCTCCAAGTTGATTCGCTAGAACATGCTCTACGTATGAACAATTCAAGAGAAAGACGTTATTGAGAAATAAAGTGATGAAACACGAATAACAGCACCTTTTAAGGTCAGTCGACACGTTCCTCAAATGTATCTTTTCTATCTTTTGGTATTTTATGAAAAATATGCATATTTGTTATTCTTCTCTGTTTTCTACTTCGTCTTCAATATGTTTTAAAATATACGTACATCGAAAATTGTGATATAGGCCATTCAGATGATTACCCAAATGAGAAATATTAATTTGAAATATCACCCTGTGGTGTCTTGTCTAAAGGCCTGATAAGGTATTTTTTGTGAGGAAAATTGTTTAAGTACCTAGACTTCAATGACAAATACTTGGGAAAAATCATATATTTTTGAGGAACATGTCGTCTGACATTAAAGTCATAATTTCGTAAGTTCCATCATCTTGTCAGGAAATACAATCTATCATAAAGTCAAACACCGAAATATCTTGATAAGATCGCGGGGAGAGAGAGATACTGGGGGCAATTATTATTTGAAAGCAGAAAAAACAGGCTATTACTTTTATTTAGCCGTTATTGTTTCCTTTATATTATATTTGTGTTTGCTGCCATTCTTGTTAATACATACTTTGTACTGTTGGCTTTACATCGTCCACATTACATCCGTATGTAACATTGCAAAAGCTTTTTTCACAGTTACATTCACTTTGACAGTTCTCACCATAGTTAGGGTATCTGCATGGCCAGGAACAGTTTATGCCAAAATACCCAGGACTGCATGCTTTAAATTGATAAGGATAAGAATTAAAATAAATAACAATACTAGTATTGAATTTTGAAATTATTAAAATGTAATTTGAGAAAAAAGGGAAATAATGGACCCTTACATGATAACTCCTTTCCTATAGGGTAGATTGTGGTTGTGTTAAAGCTACATCCATTGAGATTATCGCATACACTTTCTGGACAGTTGCAAAAACTTTGACATTTTAAACCATAGTTTGGATAACTGCATTGCTGTGAACAGTTTATTCCGGAAAATCTGGGGTTACAATCTACAATAAAATAATGTCAAGGTATCTCGTATCATGATTAACGTGAAAAGAAGAAAACACTTGATGTAGCCTTCAACTCGACAGCTAGATATCGACGTATTGTCAATTAACAATGGTAAATTCCGTTCCTACGTTCATACGATATATCCTGGTGAGCTTGATATCAAAGATACCACAGAGTCTGACACATTTGTTTCATACTTGGATATTTTACTTGAAAATGGTAATGGTAGTGGTAATCTAACAACCAAGCTATATGATAAACGTGATGACTTTAACTTTTCTATCGTCAACTTCCCTTACTTATGCAGCAATATACCTTCATTACCTGCATACGGAGTGTATATATCTCAGTTGATTCGATACGCAAGAGTATGCTCTTCGTATAAAATAATTTCTAAAACGAAATAAATTATTTACAAGCAAGTTGATGAAACAAGAATATCAACAGTATTGTTTAAAGTCCTCATTTCGGACGTTCTATGGTCGATACAACGAAATTGTCAGCAAATTCAATTTATCATTTTGAGTCAAATGCGGGCTGAGGTTTTTCATACTAATTGTTAGTCCATTATTTATACACTAAATTGACGGATTTTTCCGTTATTTCCCGATCATGACAAGGAGCACACAGCGGATATTTCAGGGGTTTACTCTTTTCCTATTTTGTATTGTTTTATGTACTTTGAAATTGAATACTGTTCGTTATCTCTATATCCTTCTTCACTGATTTAGAAATTAATGTGCATACGGAAGTAAAAAAAAATGAAGTAATTTTTTGTTTTTCTTTTTAAAATTAAAGATAACTAATCATCCTCAGAAATGCAAAATAATCTCCGCGTGGAGCAGTGGTTGGAATGTCTGCTCAAGGGTAGCGGAGAAAGTGTCAAATCCTAATGTCACGGGTTCGGATGCACTGTGGGACGTGGAAATCGTTTCTTTGAGTGAAACCCTATAAACCGAAGACCCATGTCACACGTTGGTACCGGCACGAAAAAGATTTCTTGCTGCTCAAATGCCCTGATAGCCGAGTATACATGTACCTATAGGTCAAAATAATTTGCAGCTTTCCATCGGCAAGTGGTGACTTCTCAATATGAGTGACGTAAAACAACAAACATATCAAAAATCAAGCTCATTTAGGGAATGAATTGTAATAAATTGCGCAGAAAAGTCAAGCGTTGTCATGCTGAAATCAACAATGATATTTTTGTTTTAAATAAACAGCAAAAAATGTTACCTTTACAAGTGCCTTTTGTGTCATCCCACAGGGAACAATTCAGTAATCTGCAGAAGAATAAAAAAATGATGTAAGATTTTGTTGATCAGCTCAATTCTCTTCCTGTGTATGCTGTTTTTCTTTAATCTTGTCAAACATGAAAAAAAAATGGAAAAACTTGAAATCTAAATTATGAAAATATTACCACTAATGTAGTTATACTACCACTATTTTAGTTATACTTACGTTGAAATATCACTTTTAATCACGCTTAAAAACACTACAGAACACAAAAAACTTATATCATTCATCATTTTTATTTCACTTGTATACATCAGTATTAAAAATGGTTCCCCTTACAATTTGCAATGATTTCTTTTTATGGGTTGTGAAAAATCCGTATTCCCATAATATCTAATTAGGAATAGGGAAATTAATTAAACAGGCTCTCTGGATAAAATATTGTGACAATAAAACGCTACATCTTCAATGAAATTGCACTAAAATATTAATTAATTAATAAGTTAATCTTAATCGAGCATCTGTCGCAAACAAACATGTAGCAGAATACAGATTAAAAACAAATCATAAAGGATACTTGAATAAGATTCAAGCTAAGTTTCCCTACACAGCTGAAATATTTAAAGATAATAAAAATCAATATGCATAGAAGCAATAGGGTCTCAATTTCAAAATAATAGAAAAAGTATTTCAGGAAGATTTTTTTTAGCTTAAATGTGCTAAAAAACATACTACTTAATAACTTTAACTTTGAAGATTTTTTTTGATAATTAAGGGTCATATTAAAAGAAAATGAAATGATTTTTAAAATTAATTGAAGAACTTACAGTTAACTAATTCAAATCAAAGAAGGTGAAGATAATGAATAGTGATCGGTCTCGTAAAACATTCACATTTGAAACAATATTTATCTTGGAACTATGGTGGAATATTTCTGCCTGCTACATGCAAGATTAATCATCTTCACATGCAAAATAATAATGAAAACATGCAACTTATTTATATCTATCAACATGCAAAATAATTGTGTTGATATGAAAAATAATTATTTCGACGAACGTAAGTTACCAATTTCTGAAGAGAATTTAAATTTGATGCTGGTAAACCTGCTTGCAAACGCCATTATATAACATCATATAATCAAAACGTAACGATTTTATGATTTATTTCCCTACCTGCTAGATAAAGTATTCACCATACATGAACAATATATCTACATGCAACAAAATTATGTCAACTGGCGACTTCTTTATGCCAGCATGTAACATCAGTAAGTAAACAGGCGACTTATTTATGTCAACTGGCAAGATAATTATGTTAACATGCAAATCAATTGACAACTTGCAACTTGATAAGTTGTATGTTGATATAATCAAGTTTCATGTTAACAGAATTATCTTAAATATTGTCATAGTTATGTTTCATTTTATTAACATAAACTAGAGGTACTGTGAGCAACGAGTTCACTAAATGATACCCCCAACTCCCATATGAATATAATGACATTGTCCATGTTATGCTATGAGAAACCCAAAATATATGTCGAATCATAACGAATAAACAAATTGCAGGTGCTCTATGGCAATAGGTGGGTTTGATTGATAAGTTTTGTACATTTCTATTAGAAACAATTTTTAAAGAAATATCGTATATTGTAGAATTTTGGCAACAGAAAAAAAATTATATATAGTTCATCAAAATAAAGTATTTGTTCCAAAATCAATGCCATTGCTATTGGTACACTATTAAAGCCCCTCACGATTTAATAAACTTAATTTAACCTATGTTACTGTCACGAAGAAGTACATCATTAATTATCAAAATGATTATGATCTGGAAGTATTTTAAGTTTAAAGTATTCATATAAAACGTTCGCTCTAAAGTACATCTGGGCTTTCTATGGAGGCTTGGGGGTGTTAACGAATAAATCGTCAGTTGTTACTATTTTTTTTTCTGTCAACCTTCATTTGACAAAATAATTCTGTTAAAACACATTCGGACTGCACGCACAAGTACTCTGAAGTTGAAATAAAAAGATGTCCGAGTTTCTGATTGACAATTTCCATGTGGTTTTTGGTGACCAGATCTTCCAACAATCTATTGGAATTTCCATGGGTACCAACTGCGCTCCGTTATTAGCAGACCTATTTTTGTACTCACATGAAGCAGGATTTGTGCAAAATCACATGCGTGAAAAGAAACTTGCTATGACCTTCAACTCGATATTTTCATTCATCGACGACGTAGTGTCAATTAACAATTAATAATTTCCATTCCAATGTCTATTCGACATACCCTGTTGCGCTTGAGATAAAAGATCAGTAGAATCTGACACACCTGTTTCATACATAGGTGTTTTACTTGGAAAACATATAATATTTATTATATATAATAATATATTTTATATGCCTCAAAATATCAAACAATACTTACTCCTCAACATTTGATGGCTACTTGTCTGCTGACATGTTTGGAGTTGACGTTAAAGGTAATCTAACAACCAAGCTCTTTGATAAACGTGAAGACTTTAAGTTTTCTATCGTCAACTTCCCTTACTTATGCAACAATATACCTTCATTACCTGCATACGGTGTTTATATATCTCATTTGATTCGATACGCAAGAACATGCTCTATGCGTGTACAGTTTATAAAACGAGGTAAATTATTGACAGACAAGTTGCCGAAACAAGAATACGTGTATCAGCAGTCTCGTTTTTAGTCTTCATTTCTTAAATTCTTTCGTCGATACAATGACCTTTTCAGTACATACAATTTATCACTGAGTCAAATACTGACAGACGTTTTTTTTTTTCATACTAATTGTTAGTCCATTATTTATATACTGAATTGAGAACGAATTTTCCCGTTATTTCCAGATCATGACAATGAGCAGACGGTGGGTTTGACAGGTCAGCAGGGTATGCTCACTCCTCCATGATCCCACCTGATCCCACTCCTAATGTTTATGAGGTCCGTGTTTGCTCTGCTCCTGTTTTGCCTTGTTTTATGGACTTTGGTTTGGAATACTGTTCGTTTAGAATCTTTCAAGTATCCAAAATCTCTGAAACAGAAACCAAATCAGTGTACTTGATACAAGGCATGGTATCTTTCTTACCCGACGTATTGTTTTGGTAATTAATTTGACCTAGAGGTACTAGCTTGTACTTATAGGATGATGTTTGCATGAAACATATAAAAATATAGGTCGACAGATTTTTCCCGTTATTTCCCGATTAATAAAATGAACACACGGCGGATGTGGCCTGTCGGAAGGGAATGTGCACTCCTCCGTGACACCTGATCTAACCTCTTATGATTAAGAGATTCGTGTTTGCTCTGCACCACTTTTTAATGTTTATTGTTTAATGGACTTTCGATCTTGAATTCCGTTCATTATCCCCATATATTTCATACATGTAAACTGTCTCAGTAAAATTAGATTTTAAGATCAATGTAAGTATAAGGTCCATTATTTATAACATAAATCCAAAATAAAAGACACGAAGAACGTGATAGGGTATGCACGTGTGTTTGAGAGTGTGAGGGTAAGTGTGTGTTGAGCTTATGTTTTATAGCTTGAAGAGCAATGTTCGATTGCTTCCTCTCAGACTTGGCTTCAACAGCTGTTCAACATTCATTTATACTTTGCTGGAGGTTAGATCTAGCAAATAACATCTCACTTATTGCTTTTTAAATCTAAATCCCTGTTTCAACGCAAAAAAATCATTGTATCTGTCATATAAAAAAGTCATTGAATGTCTACTATTCAATTGCGGGGAAAATGAATATCACTTAATTTTCTTCAAAGAATGTTACAGCTTTTCCGAATTAAACAACATTTTTGAATTATAAGCAAATTTCCGTTATTTTTAAATACTTAAATCTAACATATATTTCGATTTTTAAATAAAGAATTTGGTTATTAATTAGAAGGTACAGGTGACTCTCGATGGCTCGAACTCCGATCTCTCGAAGTGAACCCCCGGTCCCGTTTTTTCCTCTTTATAACTAAGCAAATTTACTCCTGATCTCTCGAACTTCTATCTCTCGAAGTTCTCAATCTCTCGAACCAAAAGCTGGGTCCGGTTACACATATTTCATTGAATTTTACTCTCTATCTCTCGAAGTTTTGATAGCGCATGTGTACACGCCGATCAAGCATGAAATTGAGCCTGGTCTTACCTGGAAAAAGCAGTAAACGCCTGGGGCTGGCATGGAGGTGTTCACTGGGTGTTTACATGGATGACACTACACCTGTGGGTCGTCCATGTATTGATACATGTATAATTAATTTGTTATTATTGGTAAATTATAAACGAATTCAGAACTTATTTTGACGAGATGATAATTTTTAGAAAATAAATTTATAGACGTTCGTTTCAATAAGTTCCCATAGACTACGTATATGTTGGTAAACTTTTCCCGAGTACCATGAGATTTGGTGCCGAGCGAAGCGAGGGACCAAATCGAATTGCGAGGGAAAAGTTTAACAACATACTTAGTACATGCATCACACGAGAAATTAAGCCCTTTGTGTTTCTGTCTATTTAATTACAAATCTTTGTGGGTTTCTTATTATTCAATCAAGATAAGGGTAGTTTAACTCTGACTTTTGCCATTTTGTAAAGGCCCAGATGTGATAATTATACCCTCGGGGTAATATCTACCTGTCAGGTGACGGTCTACAGTGAGTAGTTTTCAAACATAATGCAGGTTCATTTCTATAGATTGAAACATCTCTGTATGAAGATAGTCATATCATTTTGATGGATTTAAATCAGGAGCATTTCATTTTTGTGGATATTAATAAACATTTGTTTTTGATGGTAAAATTGATAAATTTCCCCTGAAAGCAAGAATTCCATAGAAAACGAAAAGCAGGAAAAGAAAAGTTTACGTTTGGATACACATGTGCACTACTTGAGCAATATAGGACGGTTCCAACATATTTGAACTTCTTAAAAAAGATCATATTTACACTTTTTGCTGTTTCCAAATCAGTCCATGTCTGTTTAATTGGATTCAAAGAATAAATTAAATAGTAAGTAAAATTTTATTGTTTTCACTTCTCAATGGGGTAATTCTGATTCTGATCCAATGTAAATGGTAAATCCTAAATATTCAATCACTTCTAGACATTTCTTAACTATCTCTTTTACTTTTGATTTTAATTAATTTTTTCATGTTTTAATTTTGGCTAAAGTTGAATAATTCAGGAAGAAAGACAAAGGGGAAGAAAAAGAGATCTTCCTTCCCGTACAAAGTAATTTATGTAACTATGTAGATTTTTTGACTATGTAGTACATCAGGTCCATTATTCATTGTCCTGTGTCCCTGATTGTAACCTATCATTGGTAATGATTTGCTCAATAATTATGCACACAATGGCACAGTCATCCAACCATGAAGCATGGGCTTGGGGTATCTGTATTTGTATCTGTACGTTGTAGTAACCTATAAAGGCTTTTTCACAACGGGAAGAGAGAACGCCGGATTTTATTGGCTCGATGTTCTTGTAGGGCGGTCTTAAATCCCTCTATTGTTTTCGCATGTACGACGGAGTTGGGTAGATGGTTCCACTCAATGCACGAGTCAACAAAGAATGAATGTTGATATTGTAATGTTCTACTGGCCGCAATTGCTAATCCTTTGTTGTTATTACACACATGTTTTTGTATAATATTTGTTGTACGATGGTCCTTGAAATATTTTGGCTTGATTTGACGTTTTGATGAGGTGGTAATGCCAGTACCAACCCCTCAACCACTTTGTACATTAGAATTAATCGCAAACTTGTTCTTCTCTCCTCGAGAGGGTGTACCAAGTGATTTGGTAGCAGCAAAAATCCTTTGTTTGAGGTATCAAACATGTACTAAGAACTTTTATTAGAGTACATAATCCGAGTATGGCAAATATTGCACAAGATATTCCTTTCTCAAGGACTGAATACCGATTAAGAAAAATCTGGTGAACACTGGTGAATGACCCGATCAAGCCGCGGAATAGCCAAACCGACAATTGCTTGTTTCTTGTTTCATGTTATCATAAAATACGAGGGTTGTCCCAAAAAGTCGTAGACAATGTTTATAATTTTTTTAGCATGCAACCAGTACTTACCAAATTTTGCATCGACATAATATAGTCAATGTTCTTTAAAACTGTGAATTTTAAAATACATATCTTTTATATTAATAATATTAGGACGATTTATATGAAGGCCGATAAGGCCTGTCGGCGCATGGACAAAATTCGGGATAATTTACGCATATAACTATTACATTTGCTTTTATTTCTTTAGAACTATTTAATACATTGAACTCAATTTTAAATCACTGAAACCAGAATGAAAATCTTAATATTATGTCAAAATTTCATATAAATAGCATTAGAAACAGACGATTGGTGTCATGATTTTCATAGTATCTTTGAAATTGAGTATGATGAAAATGACGTCGTCAAACGCGTAGTCGGCGCAAGGAGATGTAATAAATTGTGTTGGATATGGTTAATATAGATCAGAGACGGGAAAAAAGAGTACAAAAGTGACATTACACACCACATTTTAATAAAGAAGTTATTTTCAAATTGCACGATATTCAATGTGAGTTTTTCTTCTGTACCGAAAATAGGTAATTACGGCATGTAAGAAGTAGAGTACTGTTTGATAAACGCAGACATTTGGGAACAATCCGGACCGCGAACGACGTCAAACAATTTGTATTCTCTGCTGCCTACAATGTAAGACGAGCTTTCGACTAAATTTCGACTGAAATTTGAATCTGCTTAAAAAAAAACAAGTAAAAAACAAACGGACAGTAGTGAATTTAAATATGTCCCTTAATCAAGAGTGGTCTATAACTTAAAAAAAATATTGAATGTAAATACCCGCGAGTGTAGCAAACAAAGAGATCATGACGTTATAAGAGACGTAATTTACGCTTGCTTTCGTGCGCCGGTGTACTCTTATATTCTTTCTTTATTTTTTCACAATTTTCTAATAAGATTTGATTTCATCATGAAACTTGAAGTGCGTGATCATAAAATGTTTTTCTTTGCTATGACAAGGATAGAAATTTAATAAAGCATAGAGAAACAAAACTGTTTTTCCATGTCTACGACTTTTTGGGACAACCCTCGTAAAAACAAATAAATATTGAAACTTAAGGAATTCGTTTTCTTTATTCGAAACACGATCATTGTTGTTGATTTTTAGTATATTACCTGTAAAATACGATTGAAATTTCTTTACATATACTTCCGGTGTAATGGTCAAGGGGCGTTTGAATAAACGCAGAGAAGACCTTAAATAATGAATAATGGAATGACCTGACTACCCTTGGAATAGAATAGTCCTTGGATATATAAAGCGAAGCTTTGGAAACAGTCAGGCATTCAGAAGTTGGCTGAAGAAGCCAACAGATGAATCAGAAGCTGAGAGAAAAGAATAAAGTAGTAAGACATTCAGAAAGTTACGGCTGAGATTGGAAGAATAAAAGAGGAAGCCATTAGAAGAAGAAAAAGGGTAAGAGTAGAATAAGCACCAGTGGCAGGTGATCTAGGGAATTGATGGTAAGTTCTGGGTGCAGTAAATCTGCAGATGATTGAGGCACTCAGTTCTTTCCTATCAAAAGGAACCTAGTGTAGAAACACGGTGCAAAAGCCATACCCAGTCCACGTCTCTTGATAACAAAATTTTAAATAAATTGTGATTTTCCCTCAGATAGAGCGGCCCTACAATTATTAGTCCAATCATTAACTCAGATAGAGTAAGAGAAAAAGCATTATACTGTACATATATCCCTTGTAGAACCCAATCATACACGTTACATTTTGGTGGCAGCCGGTCAAGGGATAAAGGACACGGCTTTTTCTGATTTATTTTTTATTGTTGTCTACTTTACATCGTTAACAATTGTGATAATATTGACACCAGGTACACTGAAGAAGTGATACCGGGTGCTTTAGTATTAGTATACTGACATTTGTTGCTCTGAACTGGGTACAGTGTTAAGCAGTGTTGTGAACGAAGTATTGAAACCGGGTGCAAGGAACTCGGTTCAGTGTTACCAAGAACTGTAAAGCAGAGTAGTGATACCAGGTGTTGAGTACCAAGTGCAGTGGTACCAGGTGCAGTACTAGTATCACCGGGTTCTCTCTTTACCAGGTATATTATTCTTGAGTGTATAGTACTGTTGTAAGATTTATTGAAACTGAGCACTGTGTGTCAAGTGTTACAGCCTTAGGTCTCGTGAAAATTGAATGAACATGGATAATTTAGAAGCAGAGCTGTACGCTGATCTGAGTGCAATTGATGCTAAGAGAGAAAAACTGAGAGAAACATTAGATATGATGAAGTCCACGCCCCAGACTACAAGATCAAACGTAGTTCCAGACTCCGGGGTAGATGTTAGAGACAAACTATTAGAAAATAGTTTGTATGAATTGACATCAAAATCAGCCAGTAACCGTGGCGCAGAGGGTACAACTCATATGAGAGACACTTTTAGTCATATAGATTACCCACAATCAAGTTACGCGTTGTATGAAGATGAGTATAGGGACATGAGAGGAGCCAGTAAATATGACTCGCTGAGGAAAAGTTCACTTAGACAACCTGTGTTTGCCGAGGCACGATCCACACCTGGGTTCTCTTGGCGTACTCCAAGTGCTTCAACAGCAACAACTAGTGTGACCTGGACATCAGGGATGGGAGCTGGACATGGTTCCCATATTGGATTCCAACAAAATCCAAATATGAGTACGCAGGCCACACAAAGTTATGATGCAGGAGGTTCATATGGTAAAACCATAATGAAACCAGCGACATACGACGGAACCGGGTCTTGGATAGACTATAAGGCCCACTTTGAGGCATGAAGCGATATAAACATGTGGAATGCGCGCCAGAAAAGTTTATATCTTGCAGCGTCATTGAAAGGACAAGCACAGACTGTCCTTGGTAACATGAAGGGAGGTACGGCTTGTACATATATGGATTTATGTAATGCACTGGAAGACCGCTTTGCACCAGCCAATCAAACAGATTTATATCGGGCAATGCTGAGAGATAAACGACAAAAGGTGTCCGAGACATTACCGGAGCTTGGTGAGAGTATTAGACGCTTGGCTCAACTAGCTTACCCGACAGCACCTAGGGAAGTAACTGAGATGATTGCCAAGGATCAGTTTGTTGATGCGTTGACAGATTTTGATATGCGCTTACGCATTCAACAATCAATCTCTGAATGATGCTATACGTTTGGCGGTTGAAATTGAGGCTTTCTGTAGAGCCGAACGCCAACGTCGGCATGATGTCGGATTTGCACGAGTAGCTACTGGAGATCAGGAAAGTATAACAGAGTCTCAAAATGACTCAAGTGTGAGAGATGAAATGAAGCAGCTACGTAATGAACTGCAGGAATCGTTAAGAAGTTTAGAAAGGAAATGGCAGACATGGCTATTACAAAAGAGACCCCCAAAGCACCAGGTTCTAAATATTTATTTAAACCAGATGCTTTTCCATATAAATGTCACAATTGCGGAAAGCATGGTCACATGATGAAAGACTGCTTGCTAAAGCTTAAGAAAACTAATGAAAAGTTGCAGAAACCCGAGTCTTACGGTGAATCAAAGACTGGAACAGGGACTCAAACCGGGAAGAAAACCAACCAAGTAGTATCTAGTAAAAGTGCGGTCAAGGAAGGACAATCAAGAAAAGAAGCTGGCTTGTTCATCAAAGCTTTGGTGAATCATGTTCCCTGCAATCTGTTGGTTGATACCGGGGCAACCTTGACAATTTTAGCCGATACAGTATGCAATGAAATAGAAAGTGAAGGGGATTGTACACTAGAGCCCGTAAATCAAAGTATTCTAGGTGCAGATGGAACACTCCTGAAGGTTAAAGGAAGAGGGAATTTTTCACTTCGACTTGGTGATAGTGAATTTAAATGCCATGCTGTTATTGCAAATATCAAAGCTGATGGCATCCTGGGTTTAGATTTTCTCAAGTCTAACAAATGTTTATTAGACGTATCTGAAATGAAAATGCATATTTATGGAGTGGAACATGAATTGCATTTACAAGGACATATTGGATGTTTCTGTGTGAAACAAGAAACAATATCTAGGCTTAGACGAAAGGAAGTCACATGTTCAAGTAAGTTACATGCATCAAATCCCAGGATGGTAACAAAAAGACCAAAGTTGAAGAAGTTAAGTCAAGGAAAAACCAAAGCTAAAGTGACCAAACCTCATATCGGTCCCACTGACAGTTTGGCTTGTGGTTTATGTAATTGTTACAAAGGAAAGTTTAAATGTGAGCAGTGTGCTCATATCTTTGGCAAGAAGACTGTGCTTAGAAGACACTTGAACAGAACACATAATTGGGAAGAGCCAAAAGAAACCGTAGAGTCGGGACTAGTGGAAAAGTATCCAAGGAAGTCCCCTGGGAGTACAGATGAGGATAAGGTGGAGGATCCAGGAGAGCTGATATTCAAGGAGACAGATTTTTGCTGAACAATCTTTATAATGTATCCGTATCTAATTTTGTTGCATGTGTTAAAAAACCATTTTTGTAACGAAAGTTTCTTTATAGCAATCGTGTTCCCTGAATTCCAGATAGTTTCAGCCTAAAAAAAAAATTAATAATATAAATAGTAAAAAAAAAAAACAAAAAAAACAAAAAAACAAAAAAACTTTAGTTTTGAATCAAATCACATGCGGGACGCATGATATCAGAGGCGTGGGTAATGTAATGGTCAGGGGGCGTTTGAATAAACGCAGAGAAGACCTTAAATAATGAATAATGGAATGACCTGACTACCCTTGGAATAGAATAGTCCTTGGGTATATAAAGCGAAGCTTTGGAAACAGTCAGGCATTCAGAAGTTGGCTGAAGAAGCCAACAGATGAATCAGAAGCTGAGAGAAAAGAATAAAGTAGTAAGACATTCAGAAAGTTACGGCTGAGATTGGAAGAATAAAAGAGGAAGCCATTAGAAGAAGAAAAAGGGTAAGAGTAGAATAAGCACCAGTGGCAGGTGATCTAGGGAATTGATGGTAAGTTCTGGGTGCAGTAAATCTGCAGATGATTGAGGCACTCAGTTCTTTCCTATCAAAAGGAACCTAGTGTAGAAACACGGTGCAAAAGCCATACCCAGTCCACGTCTCTTGATAACAAAATTTTAAATAAATTGTGATTTTCCCTCAGATAGAGCGGCCCTACAATTATTAGTCCAATCATTAACTCAGATAGAGTAAGAGAAAAAGCATTATACTGTACATATATCCTTTGTAGAACCCAATCATACACGTTACACCGGTATCTGTAAAAGTAGAACATCGATGATCGGAAAGGAAAATTCCGGATTTCATTAACAAACTATCTCTCAAACCCCTCGATCTCTCGAACTTTTCTTGCGGTCCCTTGAACTTCGAGAGATCCAGAGTAACCTGTATAAATAATTTTCATTACTTTTTCTATTATCGAATTTGAAAGAAATACTTAAGGCTCATTGATACTCTGATAAGAGAGATAACTCTAAATGACATAATTGTCTATTATACCTTTATAGATATGTCAAGTTGAAGTTTCTTTTTGTCAAATTTAGCCCCGCAAGCTATGCTAAAATTGTTTGTATTTTACTTATTTAATACATTTCTTTTGGAAAATCATTAAGGTTCAAGCTACATTTTATATGAGTGAGCAGAGGGTTTATTAACCTTAAAGATTTGATATTTGCACAGACCTTACCCTGTATCATACTATCGCCTAAGACTTGCAATCTGAAGATTAATATATTGTTGTTGCTGGAAATTCTAAAAAAAACGCCTATTGGCCATGTTGTTAACAGGAGTTTCCTGGATGTTGCTAATCTGCATCAATATTATGTAAAAGACTTTAGTCCTTGGTTAAAGTTTTATAAAAAATATTGGCTTCACATAACGATTATGAAGAAGTCATTGATGATTTTTGTTTAATTTTCACTATTTACAGATGAATATGACTACCAGTTATCACCGATTTGTTGTGTCTATTATACGTTCCTTTGTAAAACTAAGAAGGACCAAACCTTGCCACAATGGTGTGCCGGAGGTCAATTAAACTAATTGTTTTCTACAGTCTTCCTGTGAATGCCTCCATATACATAGGACTAACCATTACTTAGCATCCACTTCTGAGAGCAAATATGATTTAATTAAGGTATAATTATTTAAAAATACATTTGTTATCAACCAGAATGCTGTAGGAATCTTAACTGATATCCTCGTAGAAAATTATCATATGTATATTTTTTATTATTATTATAAATATTACACTTTAAAGATTTATTTTTTATTTATAATCTATTCTTATCTCATCTAACACAATATTTCTAGATTAATTGATTGATAGTATATTGTTTAAAGTCCCTTTTGGGAATTTGTCACTCATATGTAGAGGCCACCACTTTCCGAGGAGGACTGCACATTATGTCAGCAGCACTTAGGGTCATTAAGCAGTGAGGAATTATTTTCGTACCAGCAACTACTGCGACACGGGACCTCGGTTTATACGGCCCGACCCAAAGGACTGGTCTCCACGTCCCACAGTGGAATTCGAATTCGAACCCGCGACTCTAGAGCAGACGCTCTAACCACTTAGAATATAAATACTGATATATTTTTTACAACAATATACATTTCCGAACCCTTTTTATGAAAATAACAACAACAATAACAGCAAAAGAAGTACAATTAAACATCATGGTACAAACAATAAGCTTTCAAGCACAGCAATGTACAAGCTTTACCCTGCAGAGTTACCGTTCTACTTATAGCCCTTTTAACGTCTAAAAAGAAGTAAGGAAGCGGAGAGATGGGATTTTTTTTATCAAATGTTGTTTCAAATGGTTCACAATAAGATTATAACATTAACATTTCTATATATGTGGCAATGCTGCAAGTTATTTGTCTATAAAACTAACCCATGTTGATATTTATCGGGAACGCAATTTAAATTTTCCAAGTTCGTAATATACTACCGATTAATAATCCCTTATGAGAAATTTGTTTCTAATCCCTATAAATAAACTTTCATTCAATATGTTAAGCAAGAATATAAAAGTTTCGCATTCCTAATTTATGATCCAAAAGGAAAAGGTGCGTTTTGCAAAGAATCTTGGCATTTAGACGTTGACGGAGGTGTAGTAGCAAAGCGTAATCAGTCCTCTGGTACGTTCTTCTGACTATAAAGAAACAATAAATCACCACAAACAATGATGTTTACTGAACACCAGTATATTCATATCTATTAAGTGTGTTTGCCAACATATACACTCCGTTGTCGGCTTGAGTACAGGTTTCATCAGGTCTAGAATACTCTGCTGTACGATGTAAGTGAGGGTTATACGTGTTCCCCGTATGTTCGGCTATTACGGTGCCGACGTAGTGGGCGTTTTGCCGGATGTGTCTGGTGAAGAATCTTCGGTTAGCAATGGAGATAATGATGAAAGCGACGATAATGAGAATAATTCCAGTAACTGTTACAGCAATGATGGTGTTGACTCTGTCTTTGGATTGTTTGATATCTCGCAAATCTATTAAGAACGTTTTGAATAATTAATTACGTTAGACAATACAGATTCTTATTCAGCTTGTAATGCATTTTATATTCAAAATGAGATTATCAGAGTAAGAGATTTTAGAGATATGTGTTTTGACACACTTACCTTTGATACATCCAAAAATGTGATTGCAATATTCTTCTTTACACGTGCATTGATCCTGGCATTCATTACCGTAGTTAGGGTATCGACACAGTTTAGAGCAGTTTGATTCAAAATATCCTGGCGGACATTCTAAAAGTTAGATAAACCAAATGCTTCTCTGCTATTTGTATTATCGTTTGATATGTAATTAATTGTATTGTTACAACATCTTTGAATATAAAAAAAGTCAGTTTTGCACTATTACAATAAATTATTCGATATATTTTTAATCAGTGAACTTCGCAAGTATTTGCCTTGCACATTTAGTTTTCCTTTATTATCAAAATTCAACCATACCTGTGCAGTTTCCTGTTTCCTTGTTATAAAATCTATCATCAGGACATATCATCTGCGAGTTTCTGGTCAAAATATCCGCAAAGTAATTAGATATCAATAGAAATATGAAGACCTTCATTACTTATGGAGCAAATGGGTTACCTACGCAATAGAGGAATAACCTTAGAGTAAAAAAAAAAAGAAACGACAGTAATAAAAATCCAATTTTTCGTACCAGCACCAAAGCTTTGAAACTCATAATTTAAAATCCATTTGCTTCATTTTATTAGCACTATATTTAAAACCACTTGAAATTCAAGTTATATACATGTAGAAGTAGACTAGATTGTTCTTAATATGTTGGCATTCAGGCAGCTATTGATTGCACTTACTTAGAACGTGTTATATGGATACATGCTATTTAAAACAATTACCTGATACTTGAACATTTTTTTTCCTCTAAAAGGCTAAAATTGATTACATTTGGCACTGTTTTATCAATTTTGCAATGAGAGAAGACTAGCTCTTCCTTATTTTACATGTTTTGAAGTACTACAAGGACATCATTTCTGAGTTCTTATTTTCTTCCTTTAACCATGTAGTTATAGCATTTCCTCGTTGAAAATAAGTATTTATACATATGTTCGAATACTCCCTTTTAATTACTCTTAAGGGGGCCGACTATAGTTTTATTGTCTGAAAACTATAATAAAGAAACTCTTCATTTTTATACCATATATAACTTACATTAACTTCAGTGTACATGCAAAGTTTGGGGGAAATCTACCGTCCAGGTATTTTTGAGGGACCGTCTCAAAATACAGGTACATTTACTATAGGATTATGTAGGAAAATGCCAATTTGTAGCACATTAAAGCAAATTATACAAATACTACAATAGGCATTTTGTTCAAACTATAATATTTGATGAGTAATACTATATTACACATTATATGTAAGAAACACAAAATTCTACCGTCTCGTTACCAGAGGGGGCATCTCAAAATGCAAAAAATTAGCAAATTTTACTATTTTTGTAGAGTATTACAAAATATGACGTACACAATGGATTCACATGAAAACATAAATAAATATTGGAGATATTCTCAAATTTCTGTTTTTAATTTCAAGAGTGTATGTTTATTACTTTTTCTTAAATGATAATTTTATTACCCCTTTCTTTAAGAGCTACAGATTATCATAACGTCAAATACACACTGAAACGACGTCAACCTACCTATCAATTTCAAAATCGGTTAAAAAATCAGTTATATCAAATTGTAATTACATTTTCATACCTATAATTTCATATTTTTGTTTAATTTTCATAATTAAGCGAAAAAAGATTCATTAAAACAGTAAATACGTTTAATTTTACTATGATGCGCGAAATATTGCGCAATGAAAACTATAGTCGGTCCCCTTCATAATAAAAATATATTATTATAGTTAATTACAGCAACAAAATTTGTATATTAAGGATTAAAATAAGTTGATTTTTTAACAAATTAATGCAGATGATAAAATATATGATGGATTTTATCCATAAAAAAAAAAATTATAATGATTTGATTGGATTTATATAGCGCCTTTATAGCATAAATGATACTCAAAGCGCTTTACAATCATTATTACCCCCAGTAGACCATAACACTCCATACTCTTTCTCAGAAAGATTCTTTATCCCAGAAATATCTTCTTATTCTTGCTATCAAATTTCAGACCAATGCTCTATGAATTTTATTTGATAAAGTCCAGATCATTTGAAATTCACATTTCACTTAGTTGACAGTATTTTAAAAAAATATTTTTACTTTTCTAAATTTTATAAAATTAATTATCGTCAAAATGAACTTGTACGCAATCAAAACCTGGTCTTTTTTTAAGCTTAGTTGTTTGGCCTATCCTATGTGTAATTTAGCTGACTTTTTCTATAATTATCCCTTGATAGGCCTATCCGATTTTTTAAATTTATTTTTAACACTGAGCCCGCCAACAGATTTCGGTCATAATCAGTGGCATACTTTTGAGCAAAAACGCCATATTGTATACCCACTAAAGAAACCGCCATACAGTATGACATTTGGGATATTATGATACTACATGTGCCTTTTATAAAACTATGGCATAGATGCAAATGATAGTCTTTTCTATTTTTTTCCTCTCCTGTAAACTTAACTGAATAACATTATACATCTTTACAATCTTTTTTATGAACGTTTTTCACGGAACAACTATCAAATTCGAGGTGGGATGAGAATCGCTTAAACTATTTTATAAACATTGTTGAACTTGTATCAAGTAGAGGTACTTACATATTCATGGAATTACGACATATGTTGAAAGGATATCAGGAAACAAGCAATAACAATTTTACACACCTTCTCCAAAAATAAAACATAAATCAACTTATAAGTTTTCGTGATCTAAAAAATGTTGAATATATTTGATTTATCATGGTTTGAACACCTGTGTATGGATATACGAGGGTTGTCCCAAAAAGTCGTAGACAGGGAAAACACAAAAGACGAAATACCACCTTTAAGCAATCGCTTAATAGTAGCTTAATGGTTACTTAATGGTGGCTTAAAGAAGTTAATTCCTTTTAGCCACCATTAAGTCACCATTAAGCTGCAACTTACAGGTGCTTAATGTCCAAACTTCATTAAGCTACCATTAGCCACCTTTACGCTGAGCTTAATGATGACTGAATGGGCAAACCTCATTAAACTTTTACGCATTAGATTCTTTGAACTAACTTTTAAAGTAATATTAATATCATTTACGCAAAATCTTTTCCAGCTCATAATTTTGTCTTTTTTTCAACATGCATAAACTCGTTCACTGCTTAAGAACAAAATTAGTTAATAGCCACAGGGGCTTGATCCACGTGTCTAATAATTATTTTTTTTAAAAATCATTTACAGCAATAATAAAACAAGACATCCTTTATCAGTACCGTATATTATTCTTTTTTAAACAAATAATTATTACATGCGCTGTTTTTTTATTAGTGTATATGATTTTTTTTTCAAAATAAATAATTATTACACCCTGGGAGCAAGCCCCTGTGAAACATCTTAAATTTTCACTACCGAAAATCAATTTGTTCTTAAAATTATCTTTTGAACTTTATTTTAATTAATTCTTTATGAACTGATTTGACTTTTAAAACGGTCATGGTTCTTACATGAACACAATATATGAAGTTTTTTGCTTACCAACACATTTATTATTCAAAGTGTCCCACATCCTATCGTCAAATCAAGGGGTCTTTGGATGTCTAGATCTACAAATGGTATCATATAGCATTAAAAGTTGTGAAAAATTGTGCATATACATGTATCTTAAAATACATTATAAAAATAAATAATACCCGTTATCAGTTCCAATGTTTGGATAGCTCTAGGACCCCATTGGAAATAAGCATATTTTTCTATATTGCTTTCATGGGTTATCCTAGGCAAAGATTGTTTTAAAATATGTGAATTTGTATTGCAAGTGATCTGATAAGATCTGGTTCTGAGATCAGTATAAATCTGTAATAATGATAACTGTGATAATACCTGGAGTGATATTGTTTTACTTTGAAAGTTACAGGTATGTACTAGAACTTTTAAGCGATCCCAAATTGATTTAATTAATGTAATTTGTATTATAAGCATTATGATTTGTAATGAAGTTGACTTTTTGCCTGAGTTAACATAATAATAACTAGATACGATCTCGTTGCGAGCAACAAGTGGGTCTTCCGTCCGCTTTTTGATGAAATGATATGATTTTAATTGAGAATTTCAATTAAAAATAATGATAAAAATTGTTAAGAAGAACAATTTTGCTTCCATAATGTGTATAAGGATATTGAACATTAAAGACATAAATTAGAATTTTGGTCCCTCTCGACACCTGATCTGAAGGGCTGGACCCTTTTTCTTGAGTTATCTTAAACCTCCTAGGATTTTGAGCGGTTTTCGTTCACTTATTATTCAAAGATTTTTCTTCGTTTCCGAAGTATTTGCAAAAGAATTATTCAGGGGTCAATCCTATAACTCCTTAATGGGGACATTTAGCAAAAAATGAAAGGTTGCATATTGTTTTGAATATTATTTTGAACATCTTTTGTTCAATATTACTGATCAAAATATTTCCCACGTTTGCGACACGTCAAAGATTAAGCTTTCTGGCCCCTTGTGACCCCTATTTATGTATCATATGACATAAAAATCATAATATATAGTTGTAGATTGCTGAGATAAACATTTTTGCTTCGGTAATGTCCCATCTTGGCGCCTAATTTGACTCCCAAGTCCCTTTTTCTTGATTTTATTTTAAAGCTCTCAAGATTTTGAACAGTGAACAGTTTTGTGCAACAACTATTCAGAAATTCTTTTTTGTTTCAAAGATATTTGAATATTGGCGTCGGATATTTCATAAATATTATGGATTCTGTTGAAAATTACGCCAAACGATGGGTAAAATATGAAAAGGAAGACTTTGACACCCTGTCAAAATGGATGAAATATATCAGATTCAAGTTAAAGTTGCGTATTAAAAGATTGGGGGGGGGGGGTATGAAAACCATCCATCCTTCTGTGTTCAATAACCCAGAAGAGATAAAAAGAATTAGATATATTACATGATCAGTACGTACTGGTCCCTGCCGACAAAGCAGGTAACAACACTGTCTTGGTTTGTAAGACTAAGTATATAAATAATATTTTAGAAGAACTTGGATTTAATTCTTCAAGTGGTAATCCTACTTATACTCATACTACCCTTTCTAAGGAAGAAATTCTTCAGGATCTTATGTCAGTTTTAAATATTTTAAATATTCCACAGAACCAAAAATAATTTGAACTACCCTTTATACATTGGATTCCGAAACTTAATAAAAATCCTTACAAACAAAGATACATTTTGGGTTCAAGTACTTAGTAAATATTCAATCAAGCCTCTTTCGTTACTCCTCACTAAGATATTGACAGTAGTGAAGGGAAAACTTAAAGAGTACTGTGCAACAATATATTCAAGAGGTGGTGTGAATCAGATGTGGATATTCAAGAATTCCAAAGAACTTTTGGACAATTTGTAACACAAGATTTTACAAAATTAAACAGCTTAAAAACTTACGTCTTTTCAAC